CCGCGGTCAGGCCGGCAGGTGCACCGGCCGCACTGGTCCCCGCCGAGCGCGCAGGTCCCCGCGGGCATGGCCGGGGCCTGGGGGGGCCGCGGGGCCTGGGGGCGCCTGGTGCTGCTGGTGAGTGGGGCCCGGGGGGGGGGGACCCCAGGGCGGGTCTGAGGGTGGGGACTGGGGCCCCTGAAGCGGGTCCTGAGGAAAAGGGGGCAGGGTTCCCCGGGAAGAAAGCAGGTATCAGGTTCCGGGGTTGTTGGGGGTCTCACACCTGCGTCTTAGGTGTGTCCTGTCCCGGGTGAGAGTGAATTCTGGTTAAAAGGCCCTGCAGTCCCATCCGGAGACCCTCCTCCCTCAGACCCAGGCCCCCAGCCTCCTCCCTCAGGCCCAGGCCCCCAGCCCCTCCTCCCTCAGACCCAGGCCCCCAGCCTCCTCCCTCAGACCCAGGAGCCCAGGCCCCCAGCCTCCTCCCTCAGACCCAGGCCCCAGCCCCTTCTCCATCAGACCCAGGCCCCCAGCCTCTCCCTCAAACCCAGGCCCCCAGCCCCTCCCTCAGACCCAGGCCCCCAGCCTCCTCCCTCAGACCCAGGCCCCCAGCCCTCCTCCCTCAGACCCAGGAGCCCAGCCCCTTCTCCCTCAGACCCAGGCGCCAAGCCCTCCTCCCTCAGACCCAGGCCCCCAGCCCTCCTCCCTCAGACCCAGGCCCCCAGCCCTCCTCCCTCAGACCCAGGCCCCAGGCCCTCCTCCCTCAGACCCAGGAGCCCAGGCCCACAGCCCCTCCCTCAGACCCTGGGGTTCAGGCCTCCAGCCTCAGACAACATCAGACCAGGTGTCTGGCTTCTGGTCTCCATCCTGTCTCTCCCAATTCCCAGTTTGCTGGTGACTTTTCTTCTTTCTTTTCATTATTATTTTATTATTATTATTAGCAGTGATAGTTGCTTGCTTTCCTGCTTCTGGTCGGCCTTGCTTTTGGGGAAGTGAAACCATCGCCTTATCGCTGGCCTGGCCTTCTCCCAGCGGGCGGCGGGCAGGTGTCCAGCCCGCTCGGTCCCTGCGCCCCGCCCCGCCCTCCCCACACCCCGCAGAGGCAGCTGGCCTTGGGGTGACCTTTGTCCAGGCGGGGCCTGGTGGAGGCGGCCCTTGCTCCCCGTGTCCCCCCCCCCCCCCCCCGGCTGTACCTCTGTGGGGACTGGGCCGGGAGCCCCCAGTCTCACCCGGGCCTGGATGGGTGGGCTCTGACTCTGCCCCCCGCCCCCTTCGCCCGTCTCCCAGGGCCTGTGCGTCTGGACCGGAGCCAGGACAGCAGGTGAGGGATCCTTGGCGAGTCCACTGCCCACCCAGCCAGATAGCACCTGGAGTCCAACACCCACCGAACCAGACAGCACCTGGAGTCCAACACCCACCGAACCAGACAGCACCTGGAGTCCAACACCCACCCCGCCAGGTGGCACCTCAAGTCCACCGCCCACCCAGCCAGGTAGCACCTCCCGTCTCCTGCGGGAGTCTGCGGGAGGGAGGGGGGGTCTCCGTGGAGGGGGCAGGGATCCCTGGCAGGTGCCAGAGGGGGTTAGGCCAGGCCCCCAGCCTCCTCCCTCAGACCCTGGACTCCTGTTCCCAGCACCGGGCCCTGTGAGGAACCTGGCCGTGTGTAATGAGACCAGCAGCTCCATCACTCTGTGCTGGGAGCCGCCCCTCGGCTCTGACCAGACCTACACCTACTGGGTCCGGTGGGCCGGAGAGGATGGCGAGAACAAGACCAGGAACACGACAGACGTCACGTACATGGCGCGGGGACTCGAACCCGGGTCCCGCTATGCGTTTTCCGTGTGGGTGGAGGCAGGTGGAGCCAGCAGCAGCGAGGAGACTCTCAGTGCCAGCACAGGTGAGAGCAGCCCCTTCTGTTGTGGTTGGTGGTTGTTGGTGTGTGTGTGTGTGTGTGTGTGTGTGTGTGTTTAATAAAACTTTTTTTTTTTAGCCCTAACCAGTGTGGCCCAGTGGATAGAGCCTCGGCCTGAGGACTGAAGGGTCCCAGGTTCGATTCTGGTCAAGGGCATGTGCCTTGGTGGCGGGCACATCCCCAGCAGGGGGTGTGCAGGAGGCAGCTGATCGATGTTTCTCTCTCATTCATGTTTCTAACTCTCTTTCCCTCCCCCTTTCTCTCTGTAAAAAATAAGATATTTTTTTTTTTTTAAAAAAGGGTTTTGTTTTTTTTAAAATATATTTTATTGATTTTTTGCAGAGAAGAAGGGAGAGGGATAGAGAGTTAGAAACGTCGATGAGAGAAACATCAACCAGCCGCCTCCTGCACACTCCCCACTGGGGATGTCTCAAAACCAAGGTACATGCCCCTGACCGGAATCGAACCTGGGACCCTTCAGTCCGCAGGCCGATACTCTATCCACTTAGCCACACTGGTTAGGGCTAAAAAAAAAAAAAAAAAAAAAAGATTTTAAAAATTTATTTATGTTTAAATCCTCCCCCGAGAATATTTTCCCATGGATTTATATTGTTATTTTAAAAAAATATATTTCTTTATGGATGTCAGAGAGGAAGGGAGAGAGAGAGAAACATCAACGATGAGAAAGAACCCGGCTTGGGATCCTTTGTTTATCCTCGCCCCAGGATGTTTCTTTTTATTTTTTATAATATGTTTTTCTTGATTTTACAGAGGAAGGGAAAGGGGGAGAGAGAGAGAAACATCAGTGATGAGAGAGAATCATGGATCGGCTGCCTCCTGCACGCCCCACACTGGGGTTCGAGCCCGCAAGCCCGGGGAAGGAAGGCCTGCTCATGGGGGCCCCAGAGCCCACAGCTGACCCCCTCCTGTCCCCTCCTCAGCCCCCAACCCCGTCCAGAACCTGACCGTGGAGAATCGGACCGCCAGCTCCATCAGCCTGAGCTGGGAGGCCCCGGACACTCGGAGCTACAACTACTCGGTCCGATGGACGGCGGACGATGGCCAGAACAAGACCCAGAGCACAACAGACGTCACGCACACGGTGCAGGGCCTCGAACCCGCGTCCTCATACCGGTTGTCCGTGTGGGCGGAGAGGCACGGAGTGCCCAGCACCGAGCAGACCCAGGAGGCCTCCACAGGTGCCGCACCCCGTCCGATGGCGGGCTCCCGCCCTCACACCCCCTGTCCTCCCCCCTCGGAGTCAGGGCTGGGAGCTTTCTAGGCCACCATGCTGGTGGGGGATGGGGTGGTGTTTGGACCTCCTGGTTCCTAGGTGGATGCACAACCATTGAGCCACACTGGCCGGGCACGGCTGCCAGTTGGACGTGAGGGTCTAGCCCCCGCCCCAGGCTTCCTGGGCCCAGCGGGGAAGGAAGGGCTTCATGGGGGCCCAGAGCCCACAGCTGACCCCCCTGCTGTGCCCTCCTCAGCCCCCAACCCCGTCCAGAACCTGACATTGGTGAATCAGACCACCAGCTCCATCAGCCTGCGCTGGGAGCCGCCCCTCGGCCCCGACCGGAGCTACACCTACTGGGTGGAGTGGACGGGTGGCGGCGGTGACCGTGGGACCCGGAGCACAGCAGACACCAGTGTCACCGTGGACGGACTGGAACCCGGGTCCGCCTACGAGCTCGCCGTGTGGGTGGAGAACAGCAATGTCAGCAGCTCCTGGACCAATCTCAGCGCGGCCACAGGTGACGGGCCATTTGCTTTCTCCTCATGGTCCTGGTGTGTTTTGTTTTTTGCTTTCATTTTCTTTTTAAAAATATATTTTTTTATTGATCTCGGACGGGAAGGGAGAGGAAGAGAGCGAGACACCAGTGATGAGAGAGAGTCATGGGTCGGCTGCCTCCTGCAACCCCAGGAATCGAACCGTGCCCTCCTGGTTCTTAGGTCAGTGCTCAACCACGGAGCCACACGGCTGCCATTTTGGACGTGAGGGTCTAGCCCCCGCCCCAGGCTTCCTGGGCCCAGCGGGGAAGGAAGGCCTGCTCATGGGGGCCCCAGAGCCCACAGCTGACCCCCCTCCTGTCCCCTCCTCAGCCCCCAACTCCGTCAGGAACCTGATGTTGGTGAATCAGACCACCAGCTCCATCAGCCTGAGCTGGGAGGCCCCGGACACTCGGAGCTACAACTACTCGGTCCGATGGACGGCGGACGATGGCCAGAACAAGACCCAGAGCACGACAGACGTCACGCACACGGTGCAGGGCCTCGAACCCGCGTCCTCATACCGGTTGTCCGTGTGGGCGGAGAGGCACGGAGTGCCCAGCACCGAGCAGACCCAGGAGGCCTCCACAGGTGCCGCACCCCGTCCGATGGCGGGCTCCCGCCCTCACACCCCCTGTCCTCCCCCCTCGGAGTCAGGGCTGGGAGCTTTCTAGGCCACCATGCTGGTGGGGGATGGGGTGGTGTTTGGACCTCCTGGTTCCTAGGTGGATGCACAACCATTGAGCCACACTGGCCGGGCACGGCTGCCAGTTGGACGTGAGGGTCTAGCCCCCGCCCCAGGCTTCCTGGGCCCAGCTCTGGGCCCCCATGAAGCCCACAGCTGACCCCCCTGCTGTGCCCTCCTCAGCCCCCAACCCCGTCCAGAACCTGACGTTGGTGAATCAGACCACCAGCTCCATCAGCCTGAGCTGGGAGCCGCCCCTCGGCCCCGACCGGAGCTACACCTACTGGGTGGAGTGGACGGGTGGCGGCGGTGACCGTGGGACTCGGAGCACAGCAGACACCAGTGTCACCGTGGACGGACTGGAACCCGGGTCCGCCTACGAGCTCGCCGTGTGGGTGGAGAACAGCAATGTCAGCAGCTCCCGGACCAATCTCAGCGCGGCCACAGGTGACGGGGGTGGGGGTGGGGGGGCATTTGTTTTGCCGTCATTGTCTTGTTTGTTTGTTTTTAATTGATTTTTTACAGAGAGGAAGAGTAAGGGATAGAGTTAGAAACATCGATGAGAGAGAAACATCGATCAGCTGCCTCCTGCACACCCCCCACTGGGGATGTGCCCGCAACCAAGGTACATGCCCTTGACCGGATTGGAACCAGTCTGCAGGCCGACGCTCTATCCACTGATACAAACCGGTTTCGACTGGTTTTTTGTTTTTGATTATATTTTTATTGATCTCAGAGTGGAAGGGAAAGGGGTGGGGGAAGAGAGAGAGAGAGAGAGAGAGAGAGAGAGAGAGAGAGAGAGAGAGAGAGAGAGAGAGAGGGAAACATCAATGATGAGAGAGAATCATGGATCGGCTGCCTCCTGCAGGTCCCCCATTGGGGATCAAGCCCGACACCCGGGCATGTGCCCTGGCTGGGAATCGAACTAGGACCTCCTGGTTCATACATAGGCGCTCAACCTGAGTCAGGCTGGCCGGGCTATTTCTTGATTTTAGAGAGAGAAGGAAGGTGGAGGGGGTGTGGTGAGAGAGAGGGTGTGGTGGAGGGGGTGTAGTTGTAGCCCTGAGTGTCCGGGGCCTCCCAGCGCAGGCTGATGGAGCTGGTGGTCTGATTCACCAACATCAGGTTCCTGACGGAGTTGGGGGCTGAGGAGGGGACAGCAGGGGGGTCAGCTGTGGGCTCTGGGGCCCCCATGAGCAGGCCTTCCTTCCCCGCTGGGCCCAGGAAGCCTGGGGTGGGGGCTAGACCCTCACGTCCAAAATGGCAGCCGTGTGGCTCCGTGGTTGAGCACTGACCTAGGCGCCAGGCTATTTCTTGATTTTAGAGAGAGAAGGGAGGTGTGTGTGGGGGGGGGGGTGCGGTAAGAGAAAAAGAGAGAGGTGAGAGAAAGGGAGAGAAATACTGGTTTGACTGCATCCAGGGAAACAACATACTGGTTTGTTGTTTCCCTGGATGCAGTCACTGGTTGATCCTTGTACGTGTCCTGACCGGGGATCGGACCCCAGCCTTGGCATAGTGGGACGACCAGCGCTCTACCCACTGAGCTACCTGGCCAGGGCCAAGAAGTGTGTCTGAACACGCTGGCTGCGCAGGGAGCAGGGACTTGACTGTGCTGAGGGGACGAGGGGCGGGCAGACCTGACCCTCTCTCTGTTCCTCCTGCCAGTCCCCAACGCAGTGACAGGTCTCCGGATCTGGAACCAGACCACCAGCTCCGTCAGCCTGAGCTGGGCGGCTCCCCAGGGCCCTCCCTGCACCTACTGGGTCTCCTGGGCCCTGGAGGGCGGGGCTGCCGCTGGGTCCCAGAGCACCCCGGATACCGGGATCACCGTGGACACATTGGAAGCTGGGAGCCTGTACACCTTCACTGTGTGGGCCCGGAGGAACGGGCTCAACAGCAGCAGAGAGATCCTCACGGGGGCCACAGGTGAGACCCCGCCCAGGTCTGGGCCCAGCACTCTGGGGACTGGGGGGAGGGGGAAGCATGATGGGGGCGTGTTTCAACATGGAAATTATTTTATGGTTGGGTTCACCACAACATGAGGAACTGTATCAAAGGGTAAATATTTGATATGCAGAATGTCTTATGTATATTTTATTGATTTTTTTTTTTTTTTTACAGAGAGGAAGGGAGAGGGATAAAGAGCTAGAGCTAGAAAATTCAATGAGAGAGAAACAGCCATCAGCTGCCTCCTGCGCACCCCCCACTGGGGATGGGCCCGAAACCAAGGCACATGCCTCTGATTGGAATTGAACCCAGGACCCTTCAGTGCAAAGGCCAATGCTCTATCCACTGAGCCACACCGGTTTTGGCTGTTTTTTGTTTTTGAATATATTTTTATTTATCTCAGAGTGGAAGGGGGAGAGAGAAAGAGAGAAAGAGAGAGAGGGAGAGAAACATCAATGATGAAAGAGAATCATGGATCGGCTGCCTCCTGCAGGCCCCACACTGGGAATCAAGCCAGACACCTGGGCATGTGCCCTGGCTGGGAATCGAACTGGGGCCTCCTGGTTCATATCTGGATGCTCAACCACAGAGCCAGGCGCCAGGCTATTTCTTTTCTTCTTCTTCTTTTTTTTTTTTTTTTTTTTAATATATTTTATTGATTTTTCACAGAGAGGAGGAGAGAGGGATAGAGAGTTAGAAACATCAATGAGAGAGAATCATCAACCAGCTGCCTCTTGCACACCCCCTACTGGGGATGTGCCCGCAACCACGGTACATGCCCTTGACCGGAATCGAACCCGGGACCTTTCAGTCCGCAGGCCGACGCTCTATCCACTGAGCCAAACCGGTCCCGGCTATTTCTTGATTTTAGAGAGAGAAGGGAGGTGTGTGTGTGTGGGGGGGGGTGCGGTAAGAGAAAAAGAGAGAGGTGAGAGAAAGGGAGAGAAATACTGGTTTGTCGTTACCCTGGACGCAGCCATTGGTTGATCCTTGTACGTGCCCTGACCGGGGATCGGACCCCAGCCTTGACATAGTGGGATGACCGACGCTCTACCCACCAAGCCACCCGGCCAGGGCTGGGAAGTGTGTCCGAACACTCTGCCTGCGCAGGGAGCAGGGTCATGACTGTGCTGAGGGGACGAGGGGCGGGCAGACCTGACCCTCTCTCTGTTCCTCCTGCCAGTCCCCAACGCAGTGACAGGTCTCCAGATCTGGAACCAGACCACCAGCTCCGTCAGCCTGAGCTGGGCGGCTCCCCAGGGCCCTCCCTACACCTACTGGGTCTCCTGGGCCCTGGAGGGCGGGGCTGTCGCTGGGTCCCAGAGCACCCCGGATACCGGGATCACCGTGGACACATTGGAAGCTGGGAGCCTGTACACCTTCACTGTGTGGGCCCGGAGGAACGGGCTCAACAGCAGCAGAGAGATCCTCACGGGAGCCACAGGTGAGACCCCGTCCAGGTCAGGGCCCAGCACTCCTGGGACTGGGGGGAAGGGGGAAGCATGATGGGGCGTGTTTCAAGGTTCCTTGGAGACTATATTTTATTGGTTTTTTACCAAGAGGAAGGGAGAGGGATAGAGAGGTAGAAACATCGATGAGAGAGAAACATCCATCAGCTGCCTCTTGCACACCTCCCACTGGGGATGTGTTTGCAACCAAGGTACATGCCCCCGCCGGAATCGAACCTGGGACCTCCCAGTCTGCAAGCTGACGCTCTATCCACTGAGCCACACCGGTTAGGGCATGATATTCAGGATGTCTTAGGCGACCCCTGTGAAAGGGTCGTTCGACCCCCAAAGGGGACGACACTCGCAGGTTGAGAACCGCTGAGCTAGACAGTCGCCCACAGCTTGTCCTGGTGAAATGGCGGATCCAACAGCCTGCAGGTGTGGGTCCCCAGTGTGAGAGGAAGCAGAATTGCCCCAGGGACTAGGTGCACTGCTGATGCACGGGACCTGGGACTCTTCCGTCTTTGGCCATTTGGGCTAAGAAGACTGAAATCCACAGAAACGTCTAGAAACGTGTTGTGTCTGGAGGGTGGTCCTGCTGGAAGCCAATCCCAGCATGTCATCACTGCATGAGTTTCACCAAAAGGTTGATGGAACTTGAGACTCAACCAGGGCTGAGACACATATGTAATCACCTGTGGGAATGGTGAAAGGCACTTCCCCCAAACCTGAATAGGATGAGTGTTTGCTGCCAGACAGCTCAGGGCTTCTCAGTCTACATGTGATTGCCTCCATGTTGGCCGGAGACCTGAACAGCTGTGGGCTATTCCCCAATCTGACAATGCTCCTGTAAACCCTACCCTCTGAAGTGTATTATCTCCATTTATTGCCTTAGGACAAATTGTGTTAATAAAAAGCAAGGGTCCTGAGACAAGGAGCAGTCTTTAGCTCCTTTAGCTGAAGCTCCTCTGACCCCCAACGCCTTTCAAAATTATCTTTGGTCTTTGGACTCCTGATTGATCTATGCACAGCCTTTCTCCAGATTGCTGAACCCTTCTAGAGGCTGGAACAAGAACCCTGGCATGGTCCCCACCTCTTTCCTGTGGTTCACCCTCCTTGGGAAATAGGCCAATCCGATGGCTGGGGCACCTCAGCTCTGCAGGGAAAGTGGCGTGAGGGGCCTTGGGGTTCTGCCCATTGAGTTGTCTGTCTCCATTCCCAGCTCCCAATGAGGTCACAGCTCTGAAGAATACAACTCAGACCAACAACTCCATCACCCTGCAGTGGGAGGCCCCTGCAGACCCCCGTGCTCAGTTCTACATGTACTTTGTCCAGTGGGCGAGGGGGGTAGATCCCCAGAAGGAGACAGACCCCCAAGGACACAAGGTCAACCAGATAGCCAACACCAGTGAGACTTGGTATGTGGTGAAGGCCCTGGAACCCGGGACTACATACAACTTCAGCGTGTGGGCGAAGAGGAGTGGTGTAGCCGGTTCCACACAGAGCCTCAGAGCATCCACAGGTGAGATGGGCCCCCTTTTACCTGTTTGGGACTTGGGGGCAGGAGGCGGGGGAGCTTGTGGGTGATAAGAAGTGAGTGGACTATAAATCCCAGCAGGCCATGGGGCCCTGACTATATAAGGTGCAGTGATCCAGAGAGTCCAAAGGCTCATGGGAGTTGTAGTTTGTGGGGACCGGTTGTGAGTCCATTTGGGAATTTAGAAAGCCAGGGATGAAGAAGCATTTTGGTTTGGGGAAGGGAAGGCTGGGCTCATGGTCGCTGCCATGGTGACGCCTGGGAGGGATGGAGCACCACCCTGGCTGGCACCTACCGGCTCCCCTTGTCCCCTCCTCCCAGCCCCGGACCCGGTCACCATCACCTGCACCAGCACCTCTGGCGGCTACGGGCTCGTCCTGACCTGGACCTGCCCCCCGGGCGGCTACCAGGCCTTCGAGCTGCAGGTGGGCGGGCAGTGGAGCTCCCAGGACAGAGCCTCCTGCAGGACGGGCGTGAACGTGTCCGGCCTGCAGCCGGCTCAGTCATACAACGTCACCGTCTGCACCCTCTGGGACGGGCTGCAGGCCCCAGCGGCCTCGGTGACCTGCCGCACGGCGAGCGCAGGTGAGCGCAGCCCGGGGGGCCGGCAGTCTCTCCAGACCCCTGGGGCCCTGGGGTGGGAGGGTCTTACCTACCCCAGGGGTCCTTCTCATTTGCTCGTTTTGTTTTCTGCTGTCTTTAAAACAGTTCTATTGAGATGTAAGTCACATAACAGAACTCACCCACTTATTTATTTAATTCTTTATAATACATTTTTTATTGATTTCAGAGAGGAAGGGAGAAGGAGAGAACCATCAATGCCTAGAGAGAGAGAGAATCACGAATCACCGATCAGCCGAAACCCACACACCATCCCCACTGGGGGCCGAGCCTGTAACCCAGGCATGAGCCCTCAACTGGAATCGAACTTGGGACCCTTCAGTCCAAAGATGGACCCTCTATCCACCGAGCCAAACCAGCTAGGGCAGCGGTGGGCAAACTCATTAGTCAACAGAGCCAAATATCAACAGTACAACGATTGAAATTTCATTTGGGAGCCAAATTTTTTTAACTTAAACTTCTTCTAGCGCCACTTCTTCAAAACAGACTCGCCCAGTCTGTGGTTTTTGTGGAAGAGCCACACTCAAGGGGCCAAAGAGCTGCATGTGGCTCATGAGCCACAGTTTGCTGACTACGGGGCTAGGGCACAACTCACCCATTTAAAGTGTACAATGAACCCTCGCTGGTTCGGCTGAATGGATAGTCAGTCAGCCTGCAGACTGACGGGTCCCAGGTTCAATTCCAGCCAAGGGCACATGCCTGGGATGTGGGCTGGATCCCCAGTAGGGAGCATACAGGAGGCAGTCAATCCATGATTCTCTCTCTCTCATCATGGATGTTTCTCTCTCTCTGTCTCCCTCTCCCTTCCTCTCTGAAATCAATAAAAACATATCTTACCTAATAATAGACAAACATGTAAGTTGACCGTACCTCCACCACGCCCACCAGCCAATCAGGAGCATGTATGCAAATTAACCTGACAAAGATGGCAGATGCTTTGCATACGCAGACAAGGAGGGAAGACTGAAGGCTCCTCCCACAGCCACAGACAAGCATGAAGGCTGCAGGCTGGCTCTGCTGCAGCCTGAGGCCCGGGTTCCAGGTCCCGGGTCCTGGGTGTGGGAGGAAAGCTGGTGCTGGCAGCCAGGAGAAGGAATGGCTATTGCAAGAAACTTCATGCAACAGGCCTCTAGTTTAAAAATAAAAATGGGCTGAAACGGGTTTGGCTCAGTTGACAGAGCGTCGGCATGAGGACTGAAGGGTCCCAGGTTTGATTCCGGTCAAGGGCATGGACCTTGGCGACAGGCACATCCCCACTGGGGGGTGTGCAGGAGGCAACTGATCGATGACTCTCTCTCATTGATGTTTCTCTCTATCCCTCTCCCTTCCTCTGTAAAAAATTAATAAAATCAATTACAGCTCCCATGCCTCCTCCCCCTGGGGACACCGCCGGGGTCATCGCCGGGGCCATTGTGGGGGTCCTCCTGTTCCTCACCCTGGTGGGCCTGCTGGTCTTCTTCCTGAGGAGGTGAGACTGCCCAGGGCTGACCAGTGCCCAGAGGGGGGCCGGGGAGGTGAGACTGCCCAGGGCTGACCAGCGCCCAGAGGGGGTGCCGGGGCGGGATCTGGACAGCTGGTCCCACCCTCACCGCCTGGGCCTTTCCTCCCACACCCTCTCCCAGGTATAAGGAGAGCCTGAAGGAGCCAGCACTCAGGTGAGCCGGCGGCTGGGGGAGCATCCGAAAGGATCACTGTCAGGCCAAATCGAGGGTGTTCGCTGGGCACTGCGGGGGCCAGAGGGCAGGACCAGAGACCCCCTCTCCCTGTTGATGGGAGAGAAACATCAACCAGCTGCCTCCTGCTCACGCCCCACTGAGGATGTGCCCGCCACCAAGGTACACGCCCTTGATGGGAATCGAACCTGGGACCCTTCAGTCCTCAGGGCGACGCTCTATGCACTGAGCCACACCCATCAGGGCTCAGGTATCTTTTGGAGACTCTGCTTTCCATTCTCTCTCCAGGAGTGGAACTGAGGAATGAAAATCACATTGTTATTAATGATCATTACTTTATCCCACAATCCTGCTTTGGGGGTTTATCTGGAGGGAAGACAATCACTCTGTTGGGAAGATACACGAACCCCCCTATGCTCTGCAACATTGCTCACGGTGGCCAAGGGGAACAGAGAGTGAACATACGGAATAGCCCTGGCGGGTGGCTCAGGGGGTGGGGCGCCTATCAGGGCAGCCAGGGGGTGCTGGTTCGATTCCCTTTCGGGGCACATGATGGGGTTTGGGGTTCTATTCTCGCTAGGGGCCGTGCACTAGGCAGTGGGCGGTGTTCAGTTTTCACGTCGGTGCTTCTGTTGCTCTCTTCCTCTCCCTTTCTCTCTCTAAATAAAAGGAAAGAAAAGATGGTTCCTACGTGCACAGTGGGATTTGCTTAGCCTTAAATAAAAGGGGTGCATGCCCTAACCAGTTTGGCTCAGTGGATAGAGCATTGGCCTGCAGACTGAAGGGTCCCGGGTTCGATTCTGGTCAAGGGCATGTACCTTGGTTGTGGGTACATCCCCGGTGGTGGTGGTGGGGCGGGCAGGAGGCAGTTGATTGCTGTTCCTCTGTCGTCGATGTTTCTGAGTCTCTCTTCCTCTCCCTTCCTCTCTGTAAAAAATTAATAACATATATTTGAGAGAGAGAGAGAGAAGGGGTGCAGGCCTCCCCACCAGCACGAGGGACCTGGAGGGTCATGCTGGGGAGGTCCATCGGGCAGAGTGAGGCAGATGCTGTGTGATGTCACGGACATGTGGAGCCTCAAGACAATAATAAGAAAGCGAATCACAGCCCAAGCTGCCTTGGCTCAGTGAATAGAGTGTCAGCCTGTGGACTGAAGGGTCCCAGGTTCGATTCTGGCCAAGGGCACATGCCTGGGTTGCAGGCTCGAACCCCAGTGGGGGGCATGCAGGAGGCAGCCACTCAATGACCCTCTCTCGTCACTGCTGTTTCTGTCTCTCTCTCCTCTCTTCCTCTCTGAAAACAATAAAGAAATATATTTTTAAAAAATGGGAAAAAGACAGAATCCAAGATGGCTGCCCGGGTAAACACCTAGCCGCAGCCGCACACAACAATTTCAATAAAATACAACTAAAATATAAAATGGACATTACCCAGAACTACAGGAAAGTCGACTGACTGGAAATTCTACAACGAGAAGGAAAGAGAAAACCAGAAGGAAGCGCGGAGGAGCTGGAAAAGCCTAAGGTACGGAGACGCACGGCGCGCGGAGAGGACGGAGCCGGAGAGGAGGGCGGCTGAGTGCCTGGCTGGCGTTCCCTAGCGGGAAGGAGATGAAAGCTCCGAATGTGCTGGGCCCCAGTTCCGACTGTTCTGAACCCCAGTTCTAGGCCATACCCCGGGGACCCAGGCACATACAGAGGGAGCTGGGCTGTAAGGCGGAACCCCAGGGGAGCGGCGAAAGGAGGTCCCGGAGGCGCGCACATTGCTCGCAGAGAAGGGACGGTTGGCTGTGCCGCGGGATTGCCCTGGCGGGAAGGAGACAGGGGCTCCAGACTGCTCTGAACGCCACCTCCAACTCCACTTCCAATTGAACTGAACCCCAATACCGGGCTCATTGGGGGAGAGCATAGACTGTTTGGTAGCAGGTGAAAATCAAGGGCACCTTTCTCTCCGAGGCGCTTGCAACGAGTACTGAGGGACCCTGAGACTCAGGAGCCGCATAGGGTGGGGCTGACAGAAGCCAAGGCTGTAGGCTCCACCCTAAAATCCCGCCCTGCTCATCTGTAGCTGCGAAATGCGACAACGAAATAGATCACAAACGAAAGAAATGGAGGACAAAAAGCGACTGGATATAGAGTTCAAATCTACGCTTATAAGGTTTTTCAAGAATTTCCTAGAAAAGATCGATAAGACCTATGAGGATATGAAAAGAGATCACTAGAATTAATAAGGAATCAACAAGAAATGATAAGGGATCAACAAGAAATAAAGAATACATTGTCTGAAATAAAAAAATATTACACAGAGTCCTAAAAACAGAATGGAAGATCGCAAGAATCAAGTCAAAGATTTGGAACATAAAGAGCCAGAAGACACTCCTCTGCAGAAGCAAGAAGGCAAGAGAATCCAGGAAATTGAAGATAATGTAAGAAATCTCTGGGACAACTTCAAGCGAACCAACATCAGAATTATGGGGGTTCCAGAAGATGAGAGAGAGCAAGATATCGAAAACATACTGAAAGAAATAGTGACAGAAAACTTCCCCCACCTGGGGAAAGAATTGGACTTACAAGTCCAGGAAGCGCACAGAACTCCAAACAAAAGGAATCCAAAGAGGACCACCCCAAGACACATCATAATTAAAATCCCAAGAGCAAAAGACAAAGAGAGAATATTAAAAGCAGTAAGAGCAAAGCAGGTAGTTACCTATAAAGGATCACCTATACGATTGTCAGCTGATTTCTCAACAGAAACCATGCAGACCAGACGGGAATGGCAAGAAATATTCAAGATGATGAATAGTAAGAACCTACAGCCAAAGATAATCTACCTAGCAAAGCTATCACTCAGAATCGAAGGCCAGATAAAGAGCTTCACTAATAAAAAAAAAAAAAGCTAAAGGAGTTCATCACCACCAAACCAGACTTATATGAGTTGCTGAAGGGAGTTCTTTCAGAAGAGAAAGTAAACAAAGATAAAAATTATGAACAACAAATACGTAACTATCAACAAGTGAATCTAAAAACCAAAGGAATTAAAAAAAAATCTGATGAACAATATTAACTGGTGAATATAATAGAATCAGAGGTATGGAAGGGGAGTGAACTGACGATTCTTGGGGAAAAGGGGAGAGGGGGATGTGGGAAGAGACTGAACATAAACTGTGCACCTATGGATGAGGACAATGGGGGGTGGGGAAAGGGCAGAGGGTGGGGTGGGAACCTGGTGGAGGAGAGCAATGGTGGGGGGGGCGGGAAAGGAACATTTGTAATAATATGAACAATAAAAATTTATTTTTAAAAAAAATGGGGAGAAGAAAGCGGACCACAGAGGCAGAGAGTAGATGGGCGGAGGGTGTGGGCCCGTGTGTGGGGGGAGGCGTCAGGGACCCCAGGTTTCTGCGTATGAGCTGTGTCCACAGCACTGTCCTCCAGCCCCACGGCGCGGGCTAAGGCGGCTAAAACCTGTTCACATCCCTCCCGCCCCCCAGCTTCCGAAGGGATATCCCTGCAGCCGACTTCGCTGACCACGTCCGCAGAAACGAGAAGGACAGCAACTGTGGCTTCGCTGAGGAGTACCAGGTGGGCGGGGAGTGGGGCAGGGGAGCAGCAGGGGGTGGGTGGGGAGAGGAGCAGCAGGGGGTGGGTGGGGGTTGGGCAGGGGGGTGGGGGTGAGGCAGGGGAGCAGCAGGTGGGGAGGACAGGGCCTCAGCTGGCCCACAGGCCCATGCAGACACCCCCCACCACATGGGATTGAACAAAATCAGCACCAAGAGCCTGCCCACTTGCACAGACACCCTGGGCGCTCGGGCAGGGGGGCAGCAGGGTGTGGGGGATGGGGCAGGGGGGCAGCAGGGGGGTGGGGGATGGGGCAGGGGGGCAGCAAAGGGGTAGGGGTGGGGCAGGGGGGCAGCAGAGGGGTGGGGGTGGGGCAGGGGGGCAGCAGAGGGGTGGGGGTGGGGCAGGGGGCAGCAGAGGGGTAGGGGTGGGGCAGGGGGGCAGCAGAGGGGTAGGGGTGGGGCAGGGGGGCAACAGAGGGGTGGGGGTGGGGCAGGGGGCAGCAGAGGGGTAGGGGTGGGGCAGAGGGGCAGCAGGGGTGTGGGGGTGGGGCAGTGGGGTCTGTGGCGGGGCCGTGTCAGGCGCCCTAGAGACACATGTTGGGTTTCCCTGACACCCTCTCTCTGGGTGGCCCTCTTGCCCCCACCGGCTCCCACATCGCCCCCAGTGCACACCCGTTCCATTCCTTGGGGACACAGGACTCCAGGGCACAAGGCGTACGTGGGGTGGGGAGGGCAGGGGATGTCCTTCGGGGAAGCCGGAGGAACCCTCACACCGTGCGCCCCCCTCCTCTGCCCGTGTCCCAGCGCCTGGCCCTGGAGAGCCACGGCCAGTCCCAGACGGTGGCCCTGGCCCCGGAAAACAGCGCCAAGAACCGCTACCGGAACGTGCTGCCCTGTGAGTCCGTGTCTCATACGTGTTCACTGATGTCAGAGCAGGAGGGGGAGGGGCAGGGAGGGAAGCATCCATTAGGAGAGGGAATCACGCATCGGCTGCCTCCTGCACGCCCCACCCTGGGGACGGAGCCTGCAACCTGGGCCTGTGCCTGAGAGGGCAGGGCGGAGTTGTCCTCCATTCTGTAACTGAACCCTAGCCCTCACCCAACCCATCAGGGTTAGCCGAGGCAGTGACCTCACCACCGACCAGCGTAAAACCCCTGGGCTGGGCGAAATTCGCTCTCTCTTCCGCCATGCTGCCGGCGTGAGTGGGACGGAGCCCATGCTAGCATGGATGAGGCTCTTTTGTTTATTGCAACGGACTCGGCTCCCTGGTGGTCCTTGGGGATCACGAAGTCTGGGCGTAACATGCCCTGGACCGGGAATCGAACCGAGACCTCCAGGTTCATAGGTCAACAGGTTCGTAGGTCAACGCTCCACCAGGTTCATAGGTCAACGGAGCCACCTGTGAGCCTTGAGCTGCCGTTGGCTTTTTCCAGGCACGATGTTGCCAGCACCCTGGCCCTGGCCCGGTCCTTACCCCCTGGGACATGAGGGCTCCTTCCCCGGCCGGTCCTTCAGCTGAGGCTCCGCCCCCTGGGAGCTGGGGTGTGTGTGTGTGTCTGTCTGTCTGTCTGTCCGCCCCTCAGCCTGACTCCTGTCCCCCTCTCTGCCCGCCAGATGACTGGTCCCGTGTGGCCCTTCGGTCCCTCGGCGGGGCCCCGGGCTCCGACTACATCAACGCCAGCTTCATGCCCGTAGGTCCCTCGGTGCTGGGAGCAGGGAGGGTGCGAGGGGCCTCCGCAGCTCTGGACCGGAGGGGTCACCGCTGCCCGTGTCCATCCCCCCCTCCCCCCAGGGTCTCTGGAGCTCCCGGGAGTTCATTGCCACCCAGGGCCCCCTGCCCCAGACGGTGGGTGACTTCTGGCGCCTGGTGTGGGAGCAGCAGAGCCACACCCTGGTCATGCTGACCAACTGCGTGGAGTTGGGCCGGGTGAGCAGACGCCGGCAGGGGCCCCGGGGGACAGACCCCCAAGCTCCATCCGTGACCCTCCCCTCACCCCCTGACACTGATTCCACCCCAGGATTCCCTCCCGTGGGGCCCCAACCTCCCCCATCGCCCCCAGCCCATCCCCGTGTCCACCTGTGGGATGAGGCCGATTGCAATGGCCTTGGGACCGATGGCTCCTGTCGGGGCTCTTGCATTAAGAAGGGGTTCAGCAATCTGGAGAAAGGCTGTGCATAGATCAAGCAGGAGTCCAAAGACCAAAGATACTTTTGAAAGGCATTGGGGGGGCAGAGGAGGTTCAGCTAAAGGAGCTAAAGACTGCTCCTTGTCTCAGGACCCTTGCTTTTTATTAGCACAATTTGTCCTAAGGCAATAAGTGGAGATCATACACTTCAAAGGGTAGGTTTTCATACACAAGCATTGTCAGATGGGGGAATAGCCCACAGCTGTTCAGGTCTCTGGCCAACATGGAGGCAATCACATATAGATTGAGAAGCCCTGAGCTGTCTGGCAGCAAACACTCATCCTATTCAGGTTTGGGGGAAGTGCCTTTCGCCATTCCCACAGGTGATTACAGATGTGTCTCAGCCCTGGTTGAGTCCCCAAGCTTCATCAACCTTTTGATGAAACTTTTGTAATGATGACATGCTGGGATTGGCTTCCAGCAGGCTCCTCCTGGCCAGGGAGGACCTGCATACAGAGCCGCCCTGGGGAGGGGCCTGGGCAGGTTCCCTGGTCGTCCCCCACCCTCACTGCCCCGTGCCCTGACCCTGCGGTCCTCTCCCAGGTGAAGTGTGAGCATTACTGGCCCCTGGATGACCAGCCCTGCATCCACGGGCACCTGCAGGTGACCCTGGAGGGGGAGAAGGTGATGGAGAACTGGACAATCCGAGACCTGAAGCTGCGACACGTGAGTCCCCCACACCCGTCACCTCAATCCCTGCCCCACTGAGGGCGTTCCAGGAAGTCCCCTCCCCACAACTCCCCGGGACCACGGGGTGCCCCAGGGATACCCCACCCCCTGCCCAGTCTGCGGCCAGGCCCCCTCCCCTGTTCTGAGCTCTCCCTCCCCCCACCTACCCCTGTCTAGATGCAGGAGAAGAAGACCCTGTCTGTGCGACAGTTCCACTACATGGCCTGGCCGGACCACGGCGTGCCCCACTCCCCGGACCCCTTGCTGGCCTTCTGGAAGGTGCTCAGGCAGTGGCTGGACAACACCCCCGGGGGAGGCCCCCCCATCGTGCACTGCAGGTGAGGACCAGCCAGATCCCGTCCCTGGGCCTCCACGCCCTGACCAGTAGAGGAGGGAGAAGGGGATGGAGACAGAGGGAAGGGAGGAAGCCTGAGGACCAGGGTCCCAATGAGAAGGTGGGAAAGGAAAAGGAGGAGGGAAAGGAGGAGAAGGCCTGAGGGAGGAGGAGGAACAGGGAGGATGGTGGAGAGCAGGAGAAGCCACTGAAGACCTGGAGAAGGATTTGAAGCTCCTCCTTAGGCTGCTGTCCAGCCTCAGCCCTCCCTCCGGTTCCTGTTTAGGCCGGAGCCCCGCACATAACATTTCACTGAATCAGAGGAGGGTGAGGAAGGGGTGCTTCTGAGTGACAGGCAGCCTCTGCTTGGGGCTCGCTATCTTTTTAGAGAGAGAGGAAAGGAGAGTAAGAGGGAGAGAGAGAAAGAGAGACATTTCCTCCCTCCTGCACACCCCCCACTGAGGACTGAGCCTGAAACTCAGGCAGGTGCCCTGACCGGGAATTGAACCGGCAACCTGAGACCTTTTGGTGCACTGGTCAGGGTTCTTTGGCTTTATTTTATTTTTTAAATTGATTTCAGAGAGGAAGGGAAGGGAGAGAGCGATAAAAACATCAATGATGCTGAAACCAGTTTGGCTCAGTGATTAGAGCGTTGGCTTGCAGACTGAAAGGTCCCAGGTTCGGTTCCGGTCAGGGGCATGTGCCTTGGTTGCGGGCACATCCCCAGTGGAGGATGTGGGGGTGCAGGAGGCAGCTGATGGCTGTTTCTAACTCTCCATCCCTCTCAGTTCCTCTCTGTAAAAAGTCAATAAAATATATATTTTTTAAAAAGAAACATCAATGATGAGAGAGAACCATTGACCAGCTGCCTCCTGCACGCCCCCCTCCTGAGGACCGAGTCTGCAACCCCGGGCATGTGCCCTTGTCCGGAATCGAACCCAGGCCCCTTCAGTATGCAGGCTGACGTTCTATCCCCTGAGCCACACCATCCAGGGCCTTCCTGGTGCGCTTAACCTGTCTGCCTGCCAAATAGTGCGCTCACCCCTGCCTGGTCCCTGCAGCGCGCCCTCTGGAGGCGCCTCCGCGGACTGCAGCCCCTTCCCCCAGGGTCGAGGGGTGGAGCCTCGCTGCTCGGAGCGTTGACTCCAGCGCTGAGCTGGAGCCCTAAAAAGGCATGAAGCGCTGGCTGGGTCCATGGGAAGCAGCAGGCCCAGTGAGAGAAGCCAGACGCGGCAGGTCACCGCGGGCGGCCCCGTTTCCATGCAAGGCCCAGGGCGGCCCGGGAACACACCGGCGGTTGCCTGGGGGGCCGGAGGCCCAGCAGAGCGGGCAGTGAGATGAGTGTTTGGGAAACTGGCCAGAGGTCATGCTTGCCCAGCATTGCCAACGTCGCCGCATCGTTTAAAGGGGTGAATGTTATGTGTAAATTTTAATTTTATTTATTTATTTTTTTGAAATATATTCTATTTTATTTTTATTTTTTTTAAAAAAAATATATATATATTGTTGCTGAAACCGGTTTGGCTCAGTGCATAGAGCGTCAGCCTTCGGACTGAAGGGTCCTGGGTTCGATTCCCGTCAAGGGCATGTACCTTGGTTGTGGGCACATCCCCATTGAAGGGTGTGCAGGAGGCAGCTGGTCGGTGTTTTTCTCTCTCATCGATGTATCTAACTCTCTATCCCTCTCTCTTCCTCTTTGTAAAAAATCAATAAAATATATTTTTTTTAAAAAAATGAAATAAAGCCGAAACCGGTTTGGCTCAATGGATAGAGCGTAGGCTTGGGGACTGAAAGGTCCCGGGTTCAATTCCGGTCAGGGGCATGTACCTTGGTTGTGGGCACATCCCCAGTAGGGGGTGTGCAAGAGGCAGCTTATCGATGACTCTCTCTCATGGATGTTTCTAGCTCTCTGTCCCTCTCCCTTCCTCTCTGTGGAGAATCGATAAAATATATTGATTAAAAAATGAAATGAAATCCCTCCCGTGACCGACCCCTCCTGTCCCCGCCCAGCGCCGGCGTGGGCCGCACGGGCACCCTCATCGCCCTGGACGTCCTGCTGCGGCAGCTGGAGTGCGAGGGCCTGGTGGGGCCCTACAGCTTCGTGAAGAAGATGCGGGAGAGCCGGCCCCTGATGGTGCAGACCGAGGTGTGTGCGCGCGTGCGCGTGTGTGCGCGTGTGTGCGCGTGCGTGTCTGCGTGTGCATGTGTGTGCGTGTGCATGTGTGCGCGCGTGTGTGCGCATGTGTGCGCGTGTGTGCGCGCGTGTGCGTGTGTGTGTGCGTGCGCATGTGTGTGTGCGTGTCTGCGTGTGCATGTGTGTGCGCGTGTGTGTGCGTCTGTGTGTGCGTGTCTGTGTTTGTGTGTGTGCGTGTGTGTGTTTCTGTGTGTGCGCGCGTGTGTGTGCGTGTGTGTGCGCGCGTGCGCGTGCGTGTGTGTGCATGTGTGCATGTGTGCATGTGTGCGTGTGTGTGCGCGCGTGTGCGTGTGTGCATGTGTGTGTGTGCGTGCGCGCGTGTGCGTGTGTGCGCGCGTGTGCGCGCGCGTGTGTGTGCGCGTGTGCGCGCGCGTGTGTGTGCGCGCGTGCGTGCATGTGCATGCGCGCGTGTGCGTGTGTGTGTGTGTGTGTGCTGTGTGCATGTGTGCGTGCGTGTGTGCGCGCGTGCGTGCGCATGCGCGCGTGTGCGTGCGCGTGTGTGCGCGTGCGTGTGCGTGTGTGTGCGTGCGCACTTGTGTGTGCGTGTGTGTGTGCGTGTGTGTGCGTGCTTGTGTGTGTGTGTGTGTGCGTGTGTGTTTGTGTGCGTGTGTGTGCGTGTGTGTGCGTGTGTGTTTCTGTGTGTGTGTGCGTGTGTGTGTCTGTGTGTACGTGCGTGTGTGCATGTGCGTGCGTGTGTGTGCGTGTGTGTCTGTGTGTGTGCGCGTGTGTCTGTGTGTGTGCGTGTGTGTGTCTGTGTGCGTGTGCGTGTGTGTGTCTGTGTGTGTGCATGTGTGTGCGTGTGCATGTGTGTCTGTGTGTGTGTGTGCGCGCGTGTGTGTGTGTGCGTGTGTGTGTCTGTGTGTGTGTGTGTGTGTGTGTGTGTTGCGGCGGGTGGAGGTGGAATCCTGGGTCCAGCAGGCCACCGCTCGGGGGGCGTCCCTCACCATCTTCCCCCCGCCCCCCAGGCCCAGTACGTCTTCCTGCACCAGTGCCTCCTGCGGTCTCTGCAGCAGTCGGCCCGGCCCCCAGCCAAGAAGCACAGCGCCATCTACGAGAACCTGCTCTTCGAGAACGATTCCGCCCTCGACGTGTAGGGGAAGCTGAGGCCCAGCTTCGGGGCCCGGGGACCCCGGCCCACCGCCCGGCTCGCACTCGGGATCCAGACTTCGGCCCAGATGACTGGACCCCCTGGGAGAGCGAGGGGCTGGGGCCCCGGACTCCTGGGCCCTGGGGAGGGGGTGCTGTCAGCCCTGGGGGAGAGAGGACCCGGGGAGGCCAGGATCCGGGTTCCATGAAGGAGGGGAGGGGTGGGGGCTGGGATGTCCTAGTTCCCTGTGGGAGGAGGGGACCAGGGCCCCTTTGGGCTGCTGGATTCTGGGAAAGGGAGGAAGGAAGGATGGATGGAAAGATGGATGGAAGGAAGAAAGATGGAAGAATGGAGAGAAGGATGGAAGGGTAGGTGGAAGGAAGGGATGGGTGGATGGATGGATGGGTGGATGGGTGGATAGATGGATGGATGGATGGATGGATGGATGGAAGAAAGGATAAATGGATGATAGATGGATGGATGGAAGGATGAATGGATGAATGAATGGACAGAAGGAAGGATGAATGGATGAATGAATGGACGGAAGGAAAGGTAAGGGTAAGAGCCCGGGATTCTGGCCACCCAAGGGGTAAGGTAGGCAGGATCCTCCAGTTTACTCCAGAAACCAAATCTCCAAAGACCTCAGGTTTCCCAGCACCCACGCCCTGTACATACTTTCCACCCCCTCCACCCCATAACTTATTAAATCACTCTTCTCTGCAGAAACGCCGGCCCCAGTGGGTTTCTGGGTCCGGAAATAATCTGGGGATGGGGTTTCTGGGGTTCTTTTTCAGGCTCTGAGGCATGAGTCCTAGGGAGGTGGCTAGAGGGACCCACAGGTTTGCACCGGAACAAAGAGCAGCTGTGGATGGCGGGGAAGCATGCAGGCCGAATCCCGCGTCCATGGCCACGTGGACGGGGTTGCCTGGGGCTTATGTCCTGGGCCTGGAGGCAGGGGGACCTGGAGGGGGCGGACGCCTGGGGGACACTTCCACAATGAGTCTGGCGTCTGGATATCTGAATGCTAGGGAGAGGGGGGCGGCTGGGCGCCAGCTGGCTGGGCTAGAAGGCAGATTGCTGGGGTGGGGGGCTCCTGGCTGGGGGGCGGGACGAGGGGCGGGAGGGGGCTCTCCACCTGCTCGGGGCTGAGCACGCAGGCGCTGGCGCAAACACACACACACACACACGCACACACACACACACACACACACACACACACGTGTCTCCGCCCCGCCCGCCGCGCCCCCGCCCACCGCTCGCCGCTATCAGCACCGCGGACAGCGCCGCCGCCTGCGTCAGTGCGCCCGGCGCCGGGTGTCTCCGGGGGAGGGTCCGGTCCAGCGGGGAGCAGGTAAGGAGCTGCCGGTGGGGGGCGGGGGGGGAAGGAGAGAAGGGGGATCCCCTCCCTGAGCCGCACCCTCATTCCCATCCCTAGAGGGGCAGGATATGGGGGGACACAGGGGGACCCCGAGAGGGACCAACCGAGGGCGTGGGCGGGCTGGAGCCGGGAGGGGGACACAGGTGAGGGACAAAGGGCCGGGGGGAGGGAGAGCGGCAGGAGCGGCCCCGGCGGCGGCGGGGGGCAGGGGAGACACGGGGGGGGGGGGCAGCGGCGAGGGGGGCGGTGGGGGGACGGACGGGAGGCGGGAGTCCAGAGGGAGGGAGGACAGGTGTGAAGGCAGAGCGCGGGGTGCGCGGGCCGAGGAGGGCGCGGGAGCCCGGCAGAGGCAGCAGGGCAGCCCCCCTGAGCCCCCACTCTCCCCGGATGAGTGGGAGAGGAAGCGAGGCCGAGTCTCCGCCTCCATGGCCAGATGTGGAGGAGGGGCCAGCTGCGGGCGCCTGGACCGACCGGCCGGCCAGCCGCCCCTCCCACCTTCGCTGGTCCCGGGATCCAGGTCTGGGGGCCCAAGTCCAACAGAGAACTGAGCCAGCGGGGGGCGCCCCCCACCCCGTCCCCCGCATCCCATATCCCGCTGGGGACTTGTCTTTGGTACGTGGAGCCCCGCCCGTTGTCGTGGCAACAGGGCGTTGCCGGGGCAACCAGGGTGAACTCCCACCCCGGGGCCCCAAGCGGAGCCAGGCGTTGCTCTGGGCAACTGGGCGCGCTGGTTCCCACGCTCACCTTCGCCCACTTCCGATTCAGGCCCCGGGAAGGGCAAAGACAGGGGACAAGCCCGCGGGGTTCCTGCGGGGACCTGGGGCCGCGGAGGCGCTCCTTGGGGATGGAACTAAGTCCTAGAACGCACCCCCAGAGCACTCCCTCCTTCTCAGGGAGGCTGAAACTACAACCCCCAACATGCCTTGCGGCGGCCAGCCGACTCCCGCGCGGCCAGTCGCCCAGGGTGCCGATGGGAGTTGTAGTTCTCTGTTGTTCCGAGGACTCAACGGTAGCACGGGTGGGTGTGGGAGGCTAGGGTGCTTGGGTGCCTCCGCAGAAAGGACCGTAGGACCCCGCCGCCATGTTTCCGGAGCCACCAACCCCGGGGCCTCCAGCGTCAGACACGCCTCCGGACTCAAGTCGCATCAGCCACGGCCCTGGTGAGCCAGTTCCCCGGTTGGAGCGGAGGGAAAGTCCGGCCAGGATTTACGTTTGCTACCAATGATTGAATGAATGAATGAATGAACGAATGGAATCCTGGGTTGGAATCTCAATGAAATGGAAAAAGAACACGTTTGCTACAATGAATGAATGAATGAATGAATGAAGACAGAAAACAAACAAACAAAAAAACCCACCACGAAAATCAGACCAAGGAATAGGCTCTTGCATTGATGAATTAGAGGGTCCACCTGTTCCTTCTTTTATTTTTTCTTTCTTTTTTAAAAATATTTTTTTTTATTGATTTCAGAGAGGAAGGGTGAGGGAGAGAGAGATAGAAGCACCTATGATGAGAGAATCATTGATGGGCTGCCTCTTGCACGCCCCCTACTGGGGATCCAGCCCACCACTGGTGCATGAGCCCTGACCAGGGATTGAACCGTGACCTCCTAGTTCATAGGTGTTCACATTCTACCACTGACCCACACCCGCTGCGCTGTCCCTTCTTTTTAAAGATAGTGAAGCAGCCCCAACGGGTTTGGCTCAGTGGATAGAGCGTAGGCCTGTGGACTGAAGGATCCCAGGTTCGATTCCAATCAAGGGCATGTATATTGGTTGCCGGCACATTCCCGGTGGGGGGTGTGCAGGAGGCAGCTGATGGATGTTTCTAACTTTCTATCCCTCTGCCTTCCTCTCTATAAAAAAATCAATTTTATATATATATATATATATATATATATATATATATATATATATATATATAATTGGTTTTTTACAGAGAGGAAGGGAGAGAGATAGAGAGCCAGAAATGTCGATGAGAGAGAAACATCGACCAGCTGCCTCCTGCACACTCCCCTCCGGGGATGTGCCTGCAACCAATGTACATGCCCCTGACCGGAATCGAACCCAGGACCCTTCAGTCCGCAGACCAACGCTCAACCACTGAGCCAAACCGGCTTCGGCTTTTTTTTTTTTTTTTTTAATAATATATTTTATTGATTTTTTACAGAGAGGAGAAGAGAGTGATAGAGAGCTAGAAACGTCGATGAGAGAGAAACATCGATCAGCTGCCTCCTGCACACTCCCTACCGGGGATGTGCCCGCAACCAAGGTACATGCCCTTGATCAGAATTGAACCTGGGACCTTTCAGTCCGCAGACCGACGCTCTACCACTGAGCCAAACCGGTTTCGGCAATAAAATATATATTTTTTAAAAATAAAATAAAATAGGGAAACAGACTTGGGGAGGGGAGTTCAGGCTTCCAAAAGCACCAGGCATCTAGCAGAAACATTAACATTAGAACGGGGGTGGAAGGGATAGAAAAAAAAAATCAGACGGCATCCTTCCAGGGCCTCACTGTCTCCTTGTCCTGCCCTCCGCAGTGCCGCCCTGGGCCCTGGCCACAGGCGTGCTGGTCTCGGGCCTCCTGGTCTTCAGCTGCTGCTTCTGTCTGTACCGGAGGCGCTGCCGCAGGCGGCTGGGCAAGAAGAGCCAGGCGCAAGCCCAGGTGCACCTTCAGGAAGTGAAGGAGCTGGGCCGGAGCTACATAAACAAGGTGTGGCCTGGCCCAGACCCCGCCCCCCGCCCCCTACCCCCCCCCCTGCCCCTTCCCTCCTCTGCCCACCTTATTCGCCCATCTCCTCCGTGAGTCCAGCCCCAAAGCGGACCCTGGGGGACTGGAGATGGCCTGGACCTGCTCACTGGCCACAAGAACCTTTCAGGGTGGCGGGGAGGTCAGGCACCCTCAGGCTCACAATGCAAGGTGGTATGTGCCGCATGGGGGGCCCCTGGCCCAGGGGGGCTGGCAGCCTCCAAGGTCCCCGAAGGCTTCCCAGTGGAGGTGAATGTTGTGTGGAGACCCTGGATACCCACAGAGTTAACTGAGCTCAGCGGGAAGGACAGTCTAGCCCAGTGGTCGGCACACTCACTAGTCAGCAGAGCCAAGTATCACCAGTACAACGACTGAACTTTCTTTTGAGAGCCACACTTTTTAAACTTAAACTTCTTTTTAAAAATCAATATTTCTTTATTGATTTCAGAGAGGAAGGGAGAAGGAGAGAGATATGGAAACATCCATGATGAGAGAGAATCATTGATTGGCTGCTTCCTGCACGACCCCCTACTGGGGATGTGCCTGCAACCAAGGTACATGCCCTTGGCTGGAAGGCACCTGGGACCCTTCAGTCTGCAGGCCGATGCTCTATCCACTGAGCCACACCGGATAGGGCTACACTTGTTTGTTTTTTAATGTATTTTTATTGATTTTTTTTTTTTTTACAGAGAGGAAGAGAGAGGGATAGAGAGTTAGAAACATCAATGAGAAACATCTATCAGCTGCCTCCTGCACACCCCCCCACCAGGGATGTGCCCGCAACCAAGGTACATGCCCTTGACTGGAATTGAACCTGGGACCTTTCAGTCCGCAGGCCGACACTCTATCCACTGAGCAAAAAACTGGCTGCACTAGTTTTTCTCGGCTAACACGGGTGCCTATTTCACCGCTGGCCCCACCATAGCAGACATCACTAATCACACACCAAGAAAACACTACACCGTGGGTTGCTATGGCCATTCCCTCCCCAGTGGCAGACATCACTAATCGAACACTGACTCTGCTTAGCCCCTCAAGGGCTCAGGTATAACCTAGAGATGTACGACGAGTCTCCCTTGGTTTCTGGGCCTGGAGGATGACACACTCAGGGGAAGAATTTACCCCCCCCCCTTTGCCCCCGGGCTCCCCAAGGTGCAGCCGGAAGTGGAAGAGCTGGAGCCTGCAGTACCCTTACCAGGGCAGCAGGCGGCGGCAGAGAAGCACGAGCTGGGACGACTGCAGTACTCGCTGGACTATGACTTCCAGAGCGGCCAGGTGGGCGTGAGGAGGGGGAGGCTCTGGGGAGGAGGGTCCCGGGAGGGTCCGGAAGGGAAGCTCAGACCAGGGACCCTCCTCTCGGTGCAGCTGCTGGTGGGCATCCTGCAAGCCGAGGGGCTGGCGGCCTTGGATCTGGGTGGCTCCTCGGACCCCTACGTGCGTGTGTATCTGCTGCCGGACAAGCGGAGGCGGCATGAGACCAAGGTGCATCGACAGACGCTGAACCCACACTTCGGGGAGACCTTTGCTTTCAAGGTGAGCACCAGGCCTTGCTCCCCCTTCCCCCCAGTTCCTGGAACATTGGGGACCAACACCTCCAACTTTCTGTTTCCTTAAAAAGATATTTCTGCCCTGACCGGTTTGGCTCAGTGGATGGAGCATTGGCCTTCAGACTCAAGGGTCGCAGGTTCGATTCCGGTCAAGAGCATGAAGCTTGGTTGCGGGCACATCCCCAGTGGGGGGTGTGCAGGAGGCAGCTGATTGATGTTTCGAACTATTCCTCTCTGTAAAAAATCAATAAAATATATTTTAAAACATATTTTTATTGATTTCAGAGAGGAAGAGATAGGAACATCAATGAATGATGAGAGAGAATCGTTGATCGGTGCCTCCTGCACGCCCCCCACACACACACACACACACGGGGAATCGAACCCACAACCTGGGCATGTGCCCTGACAGAGAATCAAACTGTGACCTTCTGGCTAATAGGTCGATGCTCAGCCAGTGAGCCTGGCGGGCCGGCCGCCTTCAGCTTTCTCTGGAGGCAGCCACCGCTCAGCTGGCCGCTAACAGCTCCAAAGACCATTCTTTTTTTTTTTTTTTTTTCCCCTATTTATTTATCTTTATTTTTATTCTATTGATTTTTTACAGAGAGGAAGGGAGAGGGATAAAGAGTTAGAAGTATCAATGAGAGAGAAACATCGATCAGCTGCCTCCTGCACGCCCCTACTGGGAATATGCCCCAAGCAAGGTACATGCCCTTTCCGGAATCGAACCTGGGACCTTTCAGTCCACAGGCCCTCGCTCTATCCACTGAGCCACACCGATTTCGGCCAGAGACTATTCATTCGACTGGCCCCCGGGCTGTTCCCATTTGGGTCCCATGGACCCCCCTCACCTGTTCCCTGCCCTCCTCGCTGCTTCCCTCCCCTCCCCTCTGCCTCCCTGCCCTGCACCTCTCTGCATTCCCCCCACCCAGGTCCCCTACGTGGAGCTGGGAGGCAGGGTCCTGGTCATGGCGGTGTACGACTTCGACCGCTTCTCCCGCAACGACGCCATCGGGGAGGTGCGCATCCCCATGAGCTCCGTGGACCTGGGGAGGCCCGTGCTGGCCTGGCGGCAGCTGCAGGCGGCACCGAGGGAGGAGGTGAGCGCGCGCGACCACGCCCCGCGGCCAGGCACGCCCCCGAGCCCCGGGCCAATCAGATCACAGGCCTATCCGGGGCCAATCAGATCACAGGCCTATCCGGGGCCAATCAGATCACAGGCCTATCCGGGGCCAATCAGATCAGAGGCCTATCCGGGGCCAATCAGATCTCAGGCCTCTCGGGCCAATCAAATCACAGACCTATCCAGGGCCAATAAAATCACAGGGCTATCCAGGGCCAATCAGATCACAGGCCTATCCAGGGCCAATCAGATCTCAGGCCTCTCGGGCCAATCAAATCACAGACCTAACCAGGGCCAATCAGATCACAGACCTATCCAGGGCCAATCAGATCACAGACCTATCCAGGGCCAATCAGATCACAGGTTCCGGACCCAGGCTCCAGCCCTCGCACCTACCACCTGGGGGTGTTACCGCTGGACCCGTGGTCGGCAAACTGCGGCTCGCGAGCCACATGAGGCTCTTTGGCCCCTTGAGGGCGGCTCTTCCACAAAATAGACCAAGGCCTAGGCGAGTCTCTGTTGAAAAAAGTGGCGTTAGACGAAGTTGAAGTTAAAAATGATGTGGCTCTCCAAAGACATGCCAGTCGTGCTGTGGGCAGTTGGCTCTGTGGACTCATGAGTTTGCCGACCCCTGCTCTGGACGGGTCCATTCCAGGGCGGGCGGGCGGGGGGCGGATGGGCAGGGGGCGCTCCGGCCACGGTCCCCTCCGATCTTCAGCAGGAGAAACTTGGGGATCTCTGCTTCTCCCTCCGCTACGTCCCCACCGCCGGGAAGCTCACGGTCATCGTGCTGGAGGCTAAAAACCTGAAGAAGATGGACGTGGGAGGGCTGTCAGGTGTGTGGGAAGCCAGGAAAGCGGGGGAGAGGGGAGGGCGGTGCAGGAGGGGCCTTCTGGCTCAGGGTCTGAGGGTCTCCCGGGGGGCGAGGGCGGTCCAGGCTGCCTTGGGAGGGTATAGATGGATGTGGGCACCCCCCGAGGAGACCTGAGGGGCGCACGGGGCAGCTCTATGCTGTTCCAAAGCAGTCTCCCGCGTCCCCCTCCCCGATCGGATCCCGCCACTAAGCGAGGGGGGTACGGGGCTCTATTATAAGACGCCTCCCCTCTCTCCCCCAGATCCCTACGTCAAGGTCCACCTGCTGCAGGGCGGCAAGAAGATGCGGAAAAAGAAGACGACCATCAAGAAGAACACGCTGAACCCCTATTACAACGAGGCCTTCAGCTTCGAGGTGCCCTGTGACCAGGTCCAGGTGAGCGAGGCCTGCGGAGCCCTGCGGGGCAGCCCCGGGCCCCGAGGAACCCCGCTGCTAAAGGAAGGGAGACTCCTTAGCTCCCTCCAGAAACCGGGGGGCCCCAGGTTGTGTCCCCAATTTCCTTCTATGAGGAGCGGGTTACCCGCCCCTAGGCAAGACCAGGATGCCCCGCCCCCTCAGGAGCCATGGTTACCGAGAAAGATTTCTCCACCTTTAAGAGTCCCGGAGGTAGCCTGGCCGGTGTGGCTCAGTCGTTGAGCGTCGACCTAGGAACCAGGAGGTCACGGTTCGATTCCCTGTCGGGCCACATGCCCAGGTTGTAGGTTCGATTCCCAGTGTGGGGTATGCAGGAGGCAGCCGATCCATGATTCTGTCTCGTCGTTGATCATTGATGTTTCTCTCTCTCCCTCCCTCTCCCCTCTGCCCGCCCAGAAGGTGCAGGTGGAGCTGACCGTGCTGGACTACGACAAGCTGGGCAAGAACGAGGCCATCGGGAGGGTGGCCGTGGGGGCCGAGGCCGGCGGGGCGGGGCTCCGGCACTGGGCGGACATGCTGGCCAACCCCCGGCGGCCCATCGCCCAGTGGCACTCCCTGCGGCCCCCCGACCGAGTGAGGCCGCTGCCTGTGCCCTGACCCCTCCTGGACACCCCTGACCCCGGACTCCTGGCCGACGCCCTGCCCAGGCCCACCTGTAAGCCTTCTCAGGCACCAACCCCCACCCCACCCCTCCGCCCCAACCACCTGGCCCATTCCTGCCCTCTCGCCCCCATTACGCCAATCACCATAACTTGCCAACTCCCCACCGCACATTCCCAGAAGCCCCAGGGACCCCTTGGGGAGGGGGAGCAGCTTGGTCTTCCCCCAGCCCACCCAGGGTCCCCCCGTTCTGCTTTGACAATCAGTGATCCCATCGGACTGTCCCCTTCGCCCTACACAGGATCAGCCACCCTGCCCCCGTCTCATTCCTGCACTGCTCCTCGGGCCAAATAAATACTCAGCAATGTGGTGGTGTGACTGGGTGCTCCTTGTTGGGGGCGGACAGGGGCCGGGCCGGAGCCCAGGAGGGAATCTCGCCTCCAGGGTTGGGGTAACACAAGGGCAGGAGGAGGGCTGTCCATCCTCGGAATGTGCTAAGGGGAACTTCCTTCCCACCCACCCATCCATCCATCCATCCATCCAACCACCCATCCATCCAACCACCCATCCATCCATCCAACCATCCATCCACCTACCCATCCACCCATCCATCCATCTATCCACCCATCCAACCATCCATCTATCCACCCATCCAACCATTCATCCACCCATCCAACCATCCATCCATCCATCCATCCATCCATCCATCCATCCAACCATCCATCCATCCACCCATCCATCCATCCATCCATCCATCCATCCATCCATCCATCCACCCATCCACCCATCCATCCACCCATCCATCCATCCATCCATCCATCCACCCATCCATCCATCCATCCATCCACCCATCCACCCATCCATCCACCCATCCATCCATCCATCCATCCATCCACCCATCCACCCATCCATCCACCCATCCATTCATCCATCCATCCATCATCCATCCATCCATCATCCATCCCTTCATTTATCCATTCACTCGCCCAAGTGCTGTGAGGAGTCCGTGAGAATGTACCTCCTTATTCGGGAATTTACCTTGACTTGTCTGAGGTCACACAGCGGGGTGAGAAGAGGCTGCAGAGCGCTCGGGCCTCTGGGGCGCTGGCTCCTGTGCTGGGAGTTGGAGGTGCCCCGAGGACGTGTCTCCTGTAAGGCTCTGACCTTGTGAACTCACAGCAGGTTCTCACTTGGCCACGGCCTCTCGGCCAGCAGGTAACAGACAACACGGGAACCCAGGCATGTCTGACCCAAAGCCACATCGCCAAGCATCCTGCCATCTGGTCCCTAGACTGTAGAGTAGTGGGAGCCCTGGCCCGTGTGGCTCAGTAGATTGCCCATTGTCCCACGCACCAGAAGGTCACCGGTGAGACTCCTGATCAGGGCACGAGCAGGGGTGTGGGAGGGCTGCCTGCGGCACACGAGTGTCTCCCTCTCTCCCTCTCCCTCTGAGATCAATAAAAACACACTGAACAAAATAAAGCTCTGTGAGTCCCCGGGGACTGCTGTGGACTTCCGCCGGGAAGGCAGGCACAGAAGAACGTGGAGGATGGTCCCCAGCTGGAGCCGAAAGCATGAGCTGGATTTCTCCAGGGAAAGAAGGAGGAAAGATGTCCGCAGGAACAAAGCAAAGAACATGCCAGCCCTGGAGGCAGAGGACGTGGGTGCTTCCCACGATGTGCTGTTACTAACTGTCTGAAGCCCTGGTGTGTGGTTCACCCATTCCTGTGGTGTAAATACTCCCGCTCGGCTGCGGTGACTTCACGCCCCCAGTATGAGGTCACTGAATACGGAGTTGAGATTTCTGCTAGCGCGCCAGCCAGAAATGTTCCCCATGGTCAGGACAAGGATCCCAAAATTGAAGGCAGAGCCAAACAAATAACAAATAGAACCCCAAAACAAAATGCTCAGCCATCAAGATAGAGAGTACTTTAATGCAATGTTTAGAAATGTGATGCAGCCCTAACTGGTTTGGCTCAGAGGATGGAGCGTCGGCCTGCGGACTCAAGGATCCCGGGTTCGATTCCTGTCAAGGGCATGTATCTTGGCTGTGGGCACATCCCCAGTAGCAGGTGTACAGGGGGCAGTTGATCCATGTTTCTCTCATCGATGTTTCTAACTCTCTCTCCCTCTCCCTTCCTCTCTGTGAAAAATCAATAAAATATATCTTTATTTTTTTAATATATTTTATTGATTTTTTACAGAGAGGAAGGGAGAGAGAGAGAGAGCTAGAAACGTCGATGAGAGAGAAACATCGACCAGCTGCCTCTTGCACACCCCCTACTGGGGATGTGCCCGCAGCCAACGTACATGCCCCTGACCGGAATCGAACCCGGGACCTTTCAGTCCGCAGACCGACGCTCTACCACTGAGCCAAACCGGCTTCGGCAATAAAATATATCTTTAAAAAAAAAAAAAAAAGAACAGAAAATATACAACCAGGGCCAGTACTGGCTGGGGTGACCCTGAGTTTCCTGCTAGGTGAGAAGCAGGGTGTGATAGTCCGGATGTGAGGGGGAAAGGGGACACACACGTCTGCAGTTTGAGGCTTGGCCACCTCGGTTTAGTTTGAATTCATCACGATTCCGTCCAGGTCTTTCAAATTGTGAATCAGCTCAGGCTCCATCCAGCCCAGAGGCTTGGACTTCCCCAGGCTCCGCCCCAGCCGCTTCCAGCACCATCGTCGCCATGACAACCGCGTCCCCACATCCTTCTTTCCGGCATGGACAAGGGAGAGCAGAGCCACGCTCCTATTGGTGCAAAGTTTGAAGTGGGCGGTTCCCACCTGCTCGCATTGGTGAATTGATGGGGGCGGTGCCATCTCTCATGTTCTCATTGGTTGATTGATCACAGGGGGCGGGGCTATAGGCAGCAGTTGTGTGACAGGAGGGGGACCGCGGGGCTGCCCCCAGGAGAGAGGGAGGAGAAAAGTCCTGGGATATTTGAGCAGATAAAGGTGAAGGGGGGCCTCACCTGGCGGAAAGGACGAGAAATCAGGGGCGGTGAGGGGGGGGGGGTGGGCGGCGCAGAGACGATGTTTGGGGGTTCCCTGGATGTCTGTCCCGCAGGGCGATGACCACCCCGGCGGGCTCCGGCACGGGCTTCGGCTCCGTGTCCTGGTGGGGCCTGTCCCCGGCGCTGGACCTGCAGGCTGAGAGTGAGTCCCCCTCCCCGCCAACCCCACCCCAAAACCCTCCCAGGACCACATCTGCCACCGCGGCCGCCGTCCCAGATGTGCAGTAACGTCCTCAGAGGTTCCAACGGCGGGGGCCAGCCACAGGTGGCCTCGCTCTCTCTCTAAGGACTACGAGTCCCAGAATGCTTAGAGGCACAGCTCCTTTTAGAACCTACGCTGGGGTAGTGCAAGTTCTGCTGGGAGTTGTAGTCGCCGTGCGAAGGGAGGCTGCAGATGGCGCTCTGCAGGCCACGGACCGTAGCCCCGTTGTCGCCTTGCTAGGTCCTCCTGTGGACCCGGACCCGCAGGCCAGTCCAGAGCCCGGGACCCCCGAGCTGGAGGTGCTGCTGCTGGGTTCGGTGGACGGGCGCCACCTGCTTCAAACCCTGGCCCGAGCCGCGCGATGGCCACGCAGGAGGTTTCACGTGAGTTGGGATTCTGGGGTATGAGAGGAGTAGGAGGATGAAGATAAGAGTCCCGCCCGGTCGGTGTGGCTCTATCCAGGCCAGTAGCTGAGCATCAATCCAGGGAGGTCACGGTTCGATCCTTGATCAAGGGCGCACGCCCGGGTTGTGGGTTCCATCCTCAGTGTGGGGCGTGCAGGAGGCAGCCGAACCATGATTCTCTCTCATCATTGATGTTTCTCTCTCTCCCTCTCCTTCTCCCTCTCCCTGCCTCTCTGAAATTAATTACATCATTTAAAAATTTTTTTAAAAAATATTTTTATTGATTTTTTACAGAGAGGAAGGGAGAGGGATAGAGAGTTAGAAACAAAGATGAGAGAGAAACATCGACCAGCTGCCTCCTGCAGATCTCTTATGGGGGATGTGCAGCAACCAAGGCACATGTCCTTGACCAGAATCAAACCTGGGACCCTTGAGTCTGCAGGCGGAGGCCCTATCCACTGAGCCAAACCAGTTAGGGCTAAATAATTAAAAAAAAAAAAAAAAAAAAAGAGTTCAGAATCCCCTATCAACAAGTGAATCTAAAAATCAAATGAATAAAAAAAAAAAAGCCTGATGAACAGAACAAACTGGTGAATGTAATAGAGTCAGGGGCAGGGAAAGGGAGCAGACTGACAACTCTCGGGGGGAAGGGGATGTGTGGGGTTTGGGAAGAGTTTGGACAGAGAGCTTACACCTATGGATGAGGTCATGGGGGTGGGGGGAGGCCTGGAGTGGGGTGGGAACTGGGGGGAGGGGCACTATGGGGGAGGGGGAAGAGGAACATCTGTAATAATCCGAACAATAAAGATTTTTTTTTAATAAAATAGTTCAGGTTCCCAAGTCCCTGGGGGAGAGGGAAGCTGGGGGCCTGACTCCTAGGTCTGAGGGAGGTGGAGGCTGGGGCCCCAATGTATGCGTCCTGGGGACAGAAGTTGGGGATTCCTGGGTTCAAGCGGGAGAAGGAGGCCTAAGGGCGGGGTCTGTGCTGGGGAGCAGGGTCCTGAGAGGCCAGCCCCTGGTGTTTGAAGTGGGGGGTAAGGGGAGGGAGCGTTGGTGTACAGGACTCCTGGGTCCTGCAGAAGGAGGGGGCCCTGGTCTCCCACTCCCCCAAGTCTCCTGGGTGTCAGAGACAACGGTCTCAGCGCCGCTCCGCCTGCCCGTCCGTCCTCCCAGTTCTACGTGCTGGAGAATAACCTGGAAGCCGTGGCCCGACACATGCTGTTCTTCAGCCTGGCCCTGGAGGATCCCGAGAAGATGGGGCTGCAAGGTCAGTTGCAGGGACCAACGCGGACCACATGCCCTTGACCGGAATCGAACCTGGGACCCTTGAGTCCGCAGGCCGAGGCTCTATCCACTGAGCCACACCGGTTAGGGCTAACCTTTACTTTTTTAAGACAAAGGGAATGTGACTGGGGTTTCCCAGAGGGTAGCTAGGGGCGCGTAAGTCTTTGCCTTCTAGCTATGGGGTGGGTGGGGGGGTTTGCCTGGTTGGTGGTGCTTGTCTGACTCCTGGTAAGACTCTGTAAAGAAAGCCTGTGCCATACAGAAGGCGCCATTCTGTAAGCAGGTGACGGGCCCACTCCCCGCTCCCCCCATTCCCTCTCTCCCCGCCCCGCAGAGCGGAGCGAGGCCTTCCTGGAGGTGTGGGGGAACGCGCTGCTGCGCCCCCCGGTGGCCGCCTGCGTGCGCGCCCAGGCCGACCGCCTGGCCCGCCTGGTGCCCGAGCCCGACCGCCTGGCGGAGCAGCTGCCCTGGCTGAGCCTGCGCGCCCTCAAGGTGCCTCCGCCGCCCCCTCACCCCTCACCCCGCACCCTCAGCCCTGGGCGCCGGGCGGCCGCGGGAGAATGGAGCTGGGGCGGGCGCTGGGGTCCCGGGAGTCTGAACCCCAGCTCCCCAGGCGGGATTTAGTCTAAGGGGGTGGCTTCTGCTTTCTGAACCTCTGTTTCTTTTCTCTTGTTTTTTCTTTGCGTTAACTCTCATCTGAGGATATTGATTTTCATTTTTTATTATATGTTAAAATTTTTTTTTATTGATTTCAGAGAGAAAGGGAGAGGGAGAGAGAGAAAGAAACATCATCGATGAGAGAATCATTGATTGGCTGCCTCCTGCACGCCCCCCACTGGGGACGTGCCCGCAACCCAGGTCCATGCCCTTGACCGGAATCAAACCTGGGACCCTTCAGGCCGACGCTCTATCCGCTGAGCCAAACCGGTCAGGGCAGGGCATTTTTTATTATATATATATATATATTTTAAATATATACAATTTAATTGATTTCAGAGAGGAAGGCAGAGGGAGGGAGAGAGAGAGAGAAACATCAATCATGGGAGAGAATCATGGATCAGTTGCCCCCTGCACCCTCTCCTCCTCCCCACTGGGGGGTGGGGGGTCAGACCCGCAACGCGGGCATCAAACCGTGACCTCCTGGTTCACAGGTCCACGCTCAAGCACTGTGCCACAAGGCCCGGTTCCACTGATTTTTTAGAGTGGGAGGGAGGGAAGGGAGGAGGGGGACAGAGAGAGAAACATGGATGGATGTGAGAGAGACACATCCATTGGCTGCCTCCTGCACACGCCGGGGGGGGGGGGGGGAGATGGGGGAATCGAACCTGCCACCCAGGTAGGTGCCCTTGACTGGGAATCGAACCTGTGACCCTTCCATGTGCGGGCTGACCACTGAACCCACCGGCCAGGCCAGAGAAAAGGCCGAATGGTGACCACCCCCTGGGGCGGGAGGGAGGGAGGGTCACCCTTCCCACAAATCGCTCTCCCATCCCCCCTCTCCACCCCGGGCCCGGTGCGCAGTTCCGGGAGCGGGACGCGCTGGAGGCCGTGCTCCGCTTCTGGGCGGGCGGGGAGCAGGGCCCCGCCGCCTTCCCGATGCGCCGCCTCTGGGACCTGCGGCTGCGCCACTACCTGGGCTCCCGCTACGACGCCCGGCGCGGGGTCAGCGACTGGGACCTGCACATGAAGCTGCACGACCGCGGGGTGAGCGGCGGGGCCGGGGCCGGGGTCAGGGGAGGAGGGCGGGCTGGGGGGCCCCCCGGCCTCACCGGGCCCCTCTCCCCGCGCCCCAGGCCCGCGTCATCCACACCACGGAGTTCAGGCGCTGGCGGGACACGGGCGTCGCCTTTGAGCTCCGGGACGCCAGCGCCTACCAGGTGCCCAACCGCACCCTGGCGTCCGGCCGCCTGCTGAGCCACGTGCGTGTCCCCGCCGCCCGGCCCGCTCCTTTGGGGGGCAGAGGGGGGTCTGGGGGGAACCCAGGAGCCCAGTCCCCATCATCGACCCCGCCGCCCCCTCGCTCCCTGCTTTCCCAGCGCGGGGAGCGCGTGGCCGCGCGAGGGTACTGGGGGGACATCGCCACGGGGCCCTTCGTGGCCTTCGGCATCGAGACGGAGGACGAGAGCCTCCTGCGGACCAACAACGGGCAGCCCGTCAAGGTGAGCGGCACCGGGGTGGGCTGCCAGGCCCCGCCCCCTGCAACAAACCCCGCCCCTGTGCTCCAGGCCCCGCCCCTGCACTCCGGACCCCGCCCATATGTGCAACAGGTCCTGCTCCTGTACTATAGGCCCTACCCCTGCACTCCAGGCACCGCCCCCTGCACACAAACCCCGCCCCTGTGCTCCAGGTCCCGCCCATCTGCACTCCAGGCCCTGCCCCTGCACTCCAGGCCCCGCCCCTGCACACAAACCCCGACCCTGTGCTCCAGGCCCCGCCCATCTGCACGACAGGCCCCGCCCCTGCTCACAAGCCCCGCCCCGTAATCCAGGCCCCATTCATCTGCATGACAGGCACTGCTCCCGCATACAAGGCCCCGCCCCTGTACTCCAGGCCCCGCCCATCTGTATTCCAGACCCCGCCCCATGCACACAAGCCCCCCCTGCACTATAGGCCCCGCCCATCTGCGTGGTAGGCCCCGCCCATAGAGTTCTGGGCTCCACCCTCTCCATTTCCTAAACCCAGTGCCCGGAATCCCAGCTCTCCTCTCCGATGCCAGCTCTGGGTTCTCAGGGGTGGGAGGGGTGACGAACTCCAAGCCCCCGCCTCCGAGGCCCTAACCCAGCCCCTGGCCACGCCCCTTCCTCTCCCCCCCACCCCCAGACTGCGGGCGACATCACTCAGCACAACGTGACGGAGCTGTTCCGCGCACTGGCCGCCTGGGGGCCCCCGCGCGCCACCCAGGTAGACCCCCAGGAGGTGCCGGGCACCGCGAATGGAACCGGGGAGCCTGGTAGGCGAGGGACCAGGCTCTCCCCCTTGAGATGGGCGGCGGGGTGGGCACGTCATCACCTTCTGGGGCGAGTGGGACCCAGACCCTGTCCCAGGGCTTCGGGCTCCAGGGGTTTCCAGCACCAGGGCGCACCGATCCGGTTCCCGGTGCCCGGCTCCGGGGGCGGGGGGGGGGGGGCCCTCCTGACGGCCCGTCTCTCCCTCTCTCTCCTCTTTCTGGATTTCTCCTTGTCCTCAGCACCCCAATTCCAATGCCAGAATTCTGACCCTACTGCACAGTCTGAGGCTGAGAGCTGAGAACACTCTAGCACGCTGCGGGGTCAGGGTCCCTTTTGGCGAGACACTCCTCTGCCCACGTCTGCTCATGCCGCCTCCCAACCATCCCCAACCGAGCCCGCCCCGTGCGCTGTCCGGCCGTGGACCACTGCCTTTCCCTCTCCGTCTCAGTGGCCGGGCCTGTGAAGTGGTTTCTGCCTGCCAGGCCGAGCGTCCATCCCAGAGACTCCCCAGGAGTCCACGGGAGAGGAAGGCTGAGAAAGGGCTTCCAGAGGGCCACGGGGTGTCACCTGCCAGCCTGGTGTGCCCCCCAGTAACGGTGCTGCTCTCCCCACCCCCCACCCCACCCCCCAGCCCCTGGCCCGGCGCCCTTCACCCTCCACTTCCTGCCCCTCGGCGCTGACCAGACCCTCCACCGCAAGAGCTGCTACCAGGGCCGGTTCCCGCTCCTCTACGTGGCCTGTGGGTAAGAGGGCCTGGGCCCCGGCTTCCCTCTCCATCCTCCTCCCCCAGCCCAGGCCCCCAGCCCTCCTCCTCCCTCAGCCCAGGCCCCCAGTCCCTCCTCCTCCCCCAGACCCAGGCCCCCAGCCCTCCTCCCTCAGAACCAGGGGCCCAGCCCTCCTCCCCCAGACCCAGGCCCCCAGCCCTCCTCCCCCAGACCCAGGCCCCCAGCCCCTGCTCCTCCCCCAGACCCAGGCCCCCAGCCCTCCTCCCTCAGACCGAGGCCCCCAGCCCCTCCTCCTCCCTCAGACCCAGGCCCCCAGCCCCTCCTTCCTCAGCCCAGGCCCCCAGTCCCTCCTCCTCCCTCAGACCCAGGCCCCCAGCCCCTCCTCCCTCAGCCCAGGCCCCCAGCCCCTCCTCCCTCAGACCCAGGCCCCCAGCCCTCCTCCCTCAGACCGAGGCCCCCAGCCCCTCCTTCTCCCTCAGACCCAGGCCCCCAGCCCCTCCTTCCTCAGCCCAGGCCCCCAGTCCCTCCTCCTCCCTCAGACCCAGGCCCCCAGCCCCTCCTCCCTCAGCCCAGGCCCCCAGCCCCTCCTCCCTCAGACCCAGGCCCCCAGCCCCTCCTCCCTCAGACCCAGGAGCCAGGCCCCCAGCCCTCCTCCCTCAGACCCAGGCCCCCAGCCCTCCTCCCTCAGACCCAGGAGCCAGGCCCCCAGCCCTCCTCCCTCCTCCCCCAGACCCAGGCCCCCAGCCCCTCCTCCTCCCTCAGACCCAGGCCCCCAGCCCCTCCTCCCCCAGACCCAGGAGCCCAGGCCCCCAGCCTCCTCCCTCAGGACCCCCGCCCTCCCGTTCTCTCTCTGCAGGATGGTGCATCTTCTCAGCCCTGAGCTGGGGGCCTGCGTGGCCCCTGGGGGACGCCTGGTGGTGGAGTTAGCCCGGTGAGTCCCGGGAGCGCAGGGCAGGGCTCCAGGCTGGGGACGGAGAGCCGGATCCCCTACCACGGGGCTCGTCCATCTCAGGTACCTGGTGGACGTGCGGCCGGAGCAGCTGCAGGCATTCTCCGACCGGGTCGGGGAACTGGCTCAGGCAGCTGGATTCGCCCCCCAGCCCGGGGCCGGGCCCTCTGAGACCTTCGCGCGCTTCTGCAAGTCCGGGGACTCAGCTCCCGGAGACCTGGCGGTGGAATCCGGGACTCCGCCCCATGATGCCCTGGCCCCTCCCCCTGATGCCCTAGCCCCTCCCCCTGATGCCCTGACCCCGCCCCTTGACTCCCTGGCTCCACCCCCTGAACCCCTGGCTCCGCCCATCGATGTCCTGGTCCCGCCCACTGATGACCTGGCTCCACCCCCTGAAACCCTGGCTCTGCCCACTGATGCCCTGGTCCCACCCACTGATGACCTGGCTCCACCCCCTGAAACCCTGGCTCTGCCCACTGATGCCCTGGTCCTGCCCACTGATGACCTGGCTCCACCCCCTGAAACCCTGGCTCTACCCACTGATGCCCTGGTCCCGCCCACTGATGACCTGGCTCCACCCCCTGAAACCCTGGCTCTGCCCACTGATGCCCTGGTCCCGCCCACTGATGACCTGGCTCCACCCCCTGAAACCCTGGCTCTGCCCACTAATGCCCTGGTCCCACCCACTGATGACCTGACTCCACCCCCTGAAGCCCCGACTCCGCCCACTGACGCCCTGGCTCCGCCTCCTGAAGCCATGGCTCCGCCTCCTAATGCCCCAGCTCCACTCCCTGAAGCCATGGCTCCGCCTCCTAAAGCCATGGCTCCGCCTCCTGAAGCCATGGCTCTGACCCCAGAGGCAACACACCCGCCCTCGGAGGGCCTGACCCAGCCCCTCCAAGGTCAACCGCCCCCTGAACCCCTCCAACTGCCCTCAGAGTCCCAGGCTTCTTCACTAGAGGCTTCCGCTCCGCCCACAGGGAGTCAGAGCCCCCCAAACCAGAGAGTCTGAGGGGACCCTCAGACACCACCTCCCCACCTCCCACTTCCCAAGCCGGGTCCTGGAGCTGCACCCTGCACGCGCTCGCTCAGCCCCCAGAGGCGTGGCTGGAATCTCAGGTTCCGTTTCTGAGATCCTATAGTCTGCCCCTGGAATTCTAGATGGTTCACTCAGAGTCCCACTCTCCACTCCCGACACTGGAAACGCAGCCCAGAGACCGGCCCTGAGCCTCGGGGGCTCTGTGGGGTCCCCCAGATGTCCCAGGCCTAAGCAGCTGTCTCCCCTCCTGCAGCTGCTCTGCACCCACGGATTCGAATAAAGAGCAGAGACTTGTCAGCCTTGTCTGTGTCCCCGTGTCCGTCCTCCGTCCGGCTCTGGGGCTGGGCGTGGGGAGGGGCCGGGAGAGGGCAGGAGAGGACAGCCAGACCACATTCCTGGTTTTCCAAGCGGCCTGGGATTGCCCCGCACCACACACGTGGATCCTCAAATAAATCAACAAAAATGGATCCCGTGGCAACCGGCTTCGGCACTGATACTGGCCATCAGGTGATGGAAGGACAGGCCAGGCTGCCCTGGCCGGTGTGGCTCAGGGCATAGAGCGTCGGCCTTCAGGCTGAAGGGTCCCAGGTCTGATCCTGGTCAAGGGCACATGCCCGGGGTGCGGGCTCAGTCCCCAGTGGGGGGTGTGCAGGAGGCAGCCACTCAATGATTCCCTGTCATCATTGATGTTTCTATCTCTCTTCCTCTCCCTTCCTCTCTGAAATCAATAAAAATACATTTTTAAAAAAAGACAAGGCTCCTGACCTCATAGACATGGCAGTTTAGGGCTGGGGGCCTGGGCTCCTGGGTCTGAGGGAGGAGGGCTGGGGGGCCTGGGTCTGAGGGAGGAGGGACTGGGGGCCTAGGCTCCTGGGTCTGAGGGAGGAGGGTTTGGAGCCCTGGGCTCCTGGGTCTGAGGGAGGAGGGCTGGGGGGCCTGGGTCTGAGGGAGGAGGGACTGGGGGCCTGGGCTCCTGGGTCTGAGGGAGGAGGGCTGGGGCCCTGGGTCTGAGGGAGGAGGGTTTGGAGGCCTGGGCTCCTGGGTCTGAGGGAGGAGGGAGGAGGGCTGGGGGCCTGGACCCCTGGGGGGCTGGGCTCTGGGTCTGAGGGAGGAGAGGCTGGGGCCTGGGTTCCTGGGTCTGAGGGAGGAGGCTGGGGGCCTGGGCTCTGGGTCTGAGGGAGGATGGGGTCAGAAGCCGGATTCCCAGGCCGCTCTGTGTCGGGATGATCCAGCTGGAGCACCGCCCGCCCCACCCCTCACGCGCCCCGTTATCTCGCTTCCTGGGCAGGGGGAGGGGGAGCCGTATATTTAGTCGCTGCCCTCGCCCTTTATCAGTGTCCTCAGTGAGGCCTGAGCAGCCAGGACGGACTGAAGTCCCCGGGGCCCTCAAGGTCACCCCGGACGCCCCTCGCTGACTCTCCAGGAGCCTCTTATCCCTTCTCTGCCCCTCCAGCCCCCGGCGGAGTCTCAGCATGGCGGACGAGTGAGTGCATCCAGGTCTCCTGAGCCTGAGGCGGGGGGGGGGTGGGGGGGTGGGGGGGAGGTGGGCGATCTCCTGCAGGGGTGAGGCCCGGGAGGCTGGACCCCTGGCCTGAGAAAGGAGGGGGCGGGGATCAGGACTCCTGTGGGTCCAAATGCGGTTAAGAGTTTGTGAATCAGCCCAAACCGGTTTGGTTCAGTGGGTAGGGCGTCAGCTTGCGGACTGAAAGGTCCCAGGTTCGATTCCGGTCAAGGGCATGTACCTTGGTTACGGGCACATCCCCAGTGGGGGGTGTGTGTGCAGGAGGCAGCTGATGGATGTTTCTCTCTCATCGATGTTTGACTCTCTCTTCCTCTCCCTTCCTCTCTGTAAAAAACCAATAAAATATATTTAGAGAAGAAGAAGGAGAAGAAGAAAAAAAAGAGGCCCATCCTGGTCTCTCTTAAAAAATAAAATAAAAAGAATTTGGGAATCAGACTCCTTGGACGGGAGACGGGGAAGTTGGTGGCAGGGCCTCCCGGTCAGAGGGGCTTCCTGGGGTCCCTTTGGGGGCGGACGGGACAGATCAGAGGCCCACCATGAACCCCCTTTCCTGCTTTCTCTCCCCCCCTCACCCCCCAGGAGCGGCAATGCGGTGAGAGTGGGCAGGGCTGCACCTCCGGGCGGGGCAGGGTGGGGCGGGGCGGGCGGGGCGGGAGGCTGCAGCCCTAGCGGAGGGCAGGGAGCCGGGCTGAGGGTGTGGGTGGTGACCCGGCTCCGCTCCCCGGACCCCAGGCTGGGGAACCCGCACCGGCACCCATGCGGCGCCGCTCCTCCGCCAACTACAAGGCCTACGCCACCGAGCCGCACGCCAAGGTGAGCCGGACCGCGCGGTGGGCGGGGCCTGAGGAAGGGGGCGGGGCCGCGGCCTTAGTGGAGGCGTGGTTTAGGCCTTGGGCGGAGCCCAAGCGGATGACGACGTGTGAGGGGCGGGGCTGAGCTCCGGACCGGGCTCGGATTGGTGAGCGCTGCTTATGGGCGGAGTTTCGTTGCTCGTGGGAACCGCGTTGGCCTACGAGGTGGTGGGCGGTGCCTAGCCAGAGTCAGAGGCCCAGATTGGTGGATTGGGCTGAGGGGGCGTGGCCTCTCGTACTCTGAGTGCTGGGATTGGAGGCGGGCTCAAGTCTGGGCCGGACTTGGGGGGGCCCTCCCCAAAATTCTTAAGCCCCGCCCACTGCCTGCCTTTGGGTCCCTCTTCCCTCCTCCTTCCTCTCTCCATCTCAAACCCGCAGAAAAAGTCTAAGATCTCCGCCTCGAGAAAACTGCAGCTGAAGGTGAGAACCGGCCTGAAGAGAAAGCCTGGGCGACCTTGGGGGGCGGGGCTTGAGGTTTCGAATGTGTGAATGGGTGGGTGGGGCTTGGAGAGCTGGGTTTGGGGGCGTGGCTCTGCAGCGGGGGGGGGGGGGGGGGGACCCTCTCTGGAACAGCGGGCCTGGGGATGATGGACCTGGAGTGGACGCGACTCAGAAAGACCCATGTCCATCCGAAACCGGTTTGGCTCAGTGGCCTGCGGATTGAGGGGTCCCGGGTTCGATTCCCGTCAAGGGCATGTACCTTGGTTACGAGCACATCCCCAGTAGGAGGTGTGCAGGAGGCAGCTGATCGATGCTTCTAACTCTGTCCTTCTCCCTTCTTCTCTGTAAAAAAATCAATAAAAAATATATATACTTAAAAGAAAAGGAAAAAGAAAGAAAGACCCAAGTCCAGAGCTGGGATCAGAGGACCCGGGCGGGCGGAGGCAGCCTTCCAGCGGGTCTTCATCTCGCTCCCCCACGTGGGTTGAGGTCCGGCCTCCCTCTGCCCCACCCCCCCACCCCCCAGACCCTGATGCTGCAGATCGCGAAGCAGGAGCTGGAGCGCGAGGCGGAGGAGCGGCGCGGGGAGAAGGGGCGCGCCCTGAGCACGCGGTGCCAGCCCCTGGAGCTGGCCGGGCTGAGCTTCGAGGAGCTGCAGGTACAGGCTCTGAGCAGGGCCCCCGTCCAGCCCGAGGCCCCGGCTCCTCTGTCCGGTCTTGCATCTTGGGGCTCCGGGTCACTCACTGCCCTTCCCCTTCCGCTCAGGACCTGGGGCCCAATCTCCCAATGCTTACCCTCACCATTTCACACGTATGTATGGCCCGCAAGCTACCTACAGCCTCAAATCCCAGAGGGTGGTTCCTCTGTTCTTACTTCTGTAGATTCTCAGGGTGATTGGCTCTGGAGTTAGGCTTTGTTCGAAGTTTCCAGAGACCAGCTTTCGTCTGCTTCACAACTCTCCTCCCCCAAACCCAGGAGTCCAGGCCTCCAGCCTCCTCCCTCAGACCGAGGGGTCCGGGTCCCCAGCCCTCCTCCTTCAGACCCAGGAGTCCAGGCCCCCAGCCCTCCTCCTTCAGACCCAGGAGCCCAGACCCCAGCCCTCCTCCCTCAGACCCAGGAGCCCAGGCCCCCAGCCCTCCTCCCTCAGACCCAGGAGCCCAGACCCCAGCCTTCCTCCCTCAGACCCAGGAGCCCAGGCCTCCAATCTCCTCCCTCAGACCCAGGAGCCCAGGCCTCCAACCTCCTCCTTCAGACCTAGGAGTTCAGGCCCCAGCCCCTCCTCCCTCAGACCCAGGAGTCCAAGCCTCCAGCCTTCCTCCCCCAGACCCAGGAGTCCAGGCCCCAGCCCCTCCTCCCTCAGACCCAGGAGTTCAAGCCTCCAGCCTTCCTCCGCCAGACCCAGGAGTCCAAGCCTCCAGCCTTCCTCCCCCAGACCCAGGAGTCCAGGCCCCAGTACCTCCTCCCTCAGAGCCAGGAGCCCAGGTCCCAGCCCCCATCCCTCAAACCCAGGAGCCCAGGCCTCCAACCTCCTCCTTCAGACCTAGGAGTCCAAGCCCCCAGCCCCTCCTCCCTCAGACCCAGGAGTCCAAGCCCCAGCCCTGCTCCCTCAGACCCAGGAGTCCAAGCCCCAGCCCTCCTCCCTCAGACCCAGGAGTCCAGCCTCCAGCCTCCTCCCTGAGCCAGGAGCCCAGGAGCCCAGGCCCCCAGCTCCTCCTCCCTCAGACCCAGGAGCCCAGGCCCCCAGCCCTCCTCCCTCAGACCCAGGAGCCCAGCCTCCAGCCTCCTCCCTCAGACCCAGGAGTCCAGGCCCCCAGCCCTCCTCCTTCAGACCCAGGGGTCCGGGTCCCCAGCCCTCCTCCCTCAGACCCAGGGGTCCGGGTCCCCAGCCTCCTCCCTCAGACCCAGGGGTCCGGGTCCCCAGCCTCCTCCCTCAGACCCAGGGGTCCGGGTCCCCAGCCTCCTCCCTCAGACCCAGGAGCCCAGGCCCCAGCCTCCTCCCTCAGACTCAGGGGTCCGGGTCCCCAGCCCCTCCTCCCTCAGACCCAGGAGCCCAGGCCCCCAGCCCTCCTCCCTCAGACCCAGGAGCCCAGGCCCCCAGCCCTCCTCCTTCAGACCCAGGAGCCCAGGCCCCCAGCCCTCCTCCTTCAGACCCAGGAGCCCAGGCCCCCAGCCCTCCTCCCTCAGACCCAGGGGTCCGGGTCCCCAGCCCTCCTCCCTCAGACCCAGGAGCCCAGGCCCCCAGCCTCCTCCCTCAGACCCAGGAGCCCAGGCCCCCAGTCTCCTCCCTCAGACCCAGGAGCCCAGGCCCCAGCCTCCTCCCTCAGACCCAGGGGTCCTGGTCCCCAGCCTCCTCCCTCAGACCCAGGGGTCCGGGTCCCCAGCCTCCTCCCTCAGACCCAGGAGCCCAGGCCCCAGCCTCCTCCCTCAGACCCAGGGGTCCGGGTCCCCAGCCCGCCCCTACCACACCGTCACCTCTTTCCCAGGACTTGTGCCGGCAGCTCCACGCCCGCGTGGACAAAGTGGACGAGGAGAGATACGATGTGGAGGCGAAAGTCACCAAGAACATCACGGAGGTGGGAGGCTCGGGCATTGGGGGGTCCCCGTCAGGTCCGGGTGTGAGGCCGTGCTGTGCCTGGGGTTGTGGTCCCAGCCTGGCCCCTTGGGGTGGAGGACACCAGGGGACCCAGGTCAGCTCCGTGTGTCCGGCCGGCAGGGAGCGGGCAGAAGGCTGGCTACAGGATGGCCAGGCCAGGCTGCTCAGGCAGGGGGAGGTGGGACAGCAGAAAACAGGTGAAATGTGTGATGGGAGCGCCCAGCGTTGCTGAAGGAGTGGAGGCATGGACAGGGGACCCTGAGAGGCGGGTAGCTGGGCGGGGATGTGTCCCTGGTTGTCAGGGAGACAAGAGGGTTTCCAGGTCCAGAGGAGGAGAGGGGATTTCACACCGAGGCAGTGGGAGCCTCGGCTAGGACAGGCCTGGGCGGGGGCCTGGGCAGGGAAAGGAGGGGAGGGGACGGGGGAGGAGTGGGGGAAGGCGGAAGTGGAGGGAGCGGTCTCTATTCCCCTTGTTCCCCCACCCCCACCCCCACCCCCAGATCGCAGATCTGACCCAGAAGATCTTTGACCTCCGGGGCAAGTTCAAGCGGCCCACCCTGAAGCGGGTGCGCATCTCGGCGGACGCCATGATGCAGGCGCTGCTGGGCACCCGGGCTAAGGAGTCCTTGGACCTGCGCGCCCACCTCAAGCAGGTGAAGAAGGAGGACACGGAGAAGGTGAGTGGCTGGGCCGGAGAGGGGCCTAGCGGAGCGGGTGTGGGAGCAGCAGTCCCAGGCTGGCCTCCCGGCGAGGACTTTGGAATTTGAGGGAGAAAAATCTGGAAGTACAGGAGGGGCACGGGAAGTGCACCAGGAAGACAGGAAGTAGAAGGGGGAGGCTAGGAGTGCATTAGGACAAGGGAAGTAGCATGGAGTCAGAAGAGGAATAGGGGTTATAGGAAGTGCTTGAGAGAAGAGAGACAGGAAGTACAGGAGGGAGACAGGAAGTGCAGGAGGAAGTACAGGAGGGAGACAGGAAGTGCAGGAGGGAGACAGGAAGTGCAGGAGGGAAACAGGTATTGCAGGAGGAAGTACAGGAGGGAGACAGGCAGTATAGGAAGGATACAGAAAGTGCAGGAGGGAGACAGGAAGTGCAGGAGGGAGACAGAAAGTGCAGGAGGGAGACAGGAAGTATAGAAGAGAGACAGGAAGTGCAGGAGGGAGACAGGCAGTATAGGAAGGATACAGAAAGTGCGGGAGGGAGACAGGAAGTGCAGGAGGGAGACAGGAAGTGCAGGAGGGAGACAGAAAGTGTAGGAGGGAGACAGGAAGTATAGAAGGGAGACAGGAAGTGCAGGAGGGAGACAGGAAGTGCAGGAGGGAGACAGGAAGTGTGGGAGGGAGACAGGAAGTGCAGGAGGGAGACAGGAAGTATAGAAGGGAGACAGGAAGTGCAGGAGGGAGACAGGAAGTGCATGGATCAGTGTGGATGGGATGTTGAGGGGCAGGGAGTGCTCCAGAACCAGACCCTTGGTCAGAGTGGCCCCTCGGGCTGGAGGGCAGTTGGAGGACGTTTGAGGGAAGAATTCTAACCTCTGACCCTGTCTCCCCAGGAAAACCGGGAGGTGGGAGACTGGCGCAAGAACATCGACCTGCTGAGCGGCATGGAGGGCCGCAAGAAGAAGTTCGAGGGCTGAGCCCCCGCCCGTGGGCCCGCCCGGCCCGCCCACAGCCCTGAGGAATAAAGCTTGTGTCTGAGCGGAGAGGCTGTGTGTGCGTGTGTGTGTGTGTCTGCCCTCCGGGGGCCAGGGTGTGGGAGTGGGTTAATCGGAGGGCCGGGCCCCCGAAGCCACGGGCACATCAGGGGCAGACCTGGGTCTCCAGCAGGGGGCGTTCTGGGGCCTCTGCTCTGGGTGGGGGGCAGGGCTGCTGAGTCCCAGGCTCACAGGGACACACCAAGAATGAAAGGGAGCCGAGGCCGGTTTGGCTCAGTGGATAGAGTGTCGGCTTGGGGACTGAAAGGTCCCAGGTTCGATTCCGGTCAAGGGCATGTACCTTGGTTGCGGCACATCCCCAGTGGAGGGTGTGCAGGAGGCAGTTGATCGATGACTCTCTCTCATCGATGTTTCTAACTCTCTATCTCTCTCCCTTCCTCTCTGTACAAAACCAATAAAATATATTAAAAAAAAAAAAAAAAAAAAAGAATGAAAGGGAGAGGGGGCAGCCAGATTCGTGGGAATCAGTGCAAAGACCCAGAAACTGGAGAGGGAGACACACAGGCAGGAAACAGAGAGCTGAGGCAGAAATAAAGGCCCCGGAGGTGGGGTTGGTGGGGTAACTTCAGGGACACAAAGACCCAGAGGCGCCAAAAAGGGAGGGACAGGGACACAGACAGACACACGAGGGACAGGCACTCACAGATGCAGCCACAGGAACACACAGAGACCTCGGGCTGGTGAGCTCAGTGGTTAGAGCTCAGTTCCCAGCTGCGGGCTCTCGGGTTTGATTCCTGGCCGGGGGCACAGGACCCGGCTGCAGCTTCCACCCCCCCAGCCCCAACTGAGGCGCATGCAGAAGACCAGCAGTCCATGTGCCTCTCTCTCATCCATGTTTCTCTCTCTGCTCCTCCTCCTCCTCTCTCCCACTCTGGATGCCCTAGACAGGAAGCATCCCCTCAAAAGGGTCTCCTAAGCCCGCGGTCGGCAAACTGCGGCTCCCGAGCCACAGGCGGCTCTTGGGCCCCTGGAGGGTGGCTCTCCCACAGAATACCACGGCCTGGGCGAGTCTGTCTTGAAGAAGTTGCGTGAGAAGTTTACGTTTAGCCAAAACCGGTGTGGCTCAGAGGTAGAGTGTCGGTCTGCGGACTGAAGGGTCCCAGGTTCGATTCCGGTCAGGGGCATGTACCTTGGCTGCGGGCACATCCCCGGTAGGGGGTGTGCAAGAGGCAGCTGATCGATGTTTCTCTCTCATCGAGGTTTCTAGCTCTCTATCTCTCTCCCTTCCTCTCTGTAAGAAAAATCAATAAAATATATTTTTTAAAAAAGAAGTTTACGTTTAAACAATGTGGCTCTCCAAAGAAATGCCAGTCGCTGTGCTGTTGCTATCTGGCTCTGCGGACTCATGAGTTTGCCGACCGCTGTCCGTAGGCCAAGTGAGGACAGGCTCGGAAACCCAAAGTGGAAAAATACCCTCAAATGAGGATGAACGAGCAAACAAACAAGCAAAAGAAGGCTCAGAGGGACACGCGAGGGGAGGACACAGACGCAGACACAGAGCCCGAAGCAGAGGGGCCCAGGGGAGCCGCGGAGAAATGCACAGAGAGGGAGACAGGGATTGCAGGCAGCGAGACACCCACAGGCCCGAGGGAGGGGTGAGGGGTGAGGGGTGAGGGGTGCGGTGCTTGCTGGCCAGGGCTGTCTCCAGGGAGGTCAAGGTCTTGGCAGAGAAGGAAGGGACAGAGATACCGAAAAAGGCCCCGTCAGATGGCGGTGGAGGGGATAAGGTCCAGCAGGCCTCACACCCTCCCTGTCCCTCCCCCACGCACACCTGCTTCCCTGCTTTAGCGCCTGTTGTCACCAGCGTGGAATCCGGGCAGACAAAGGGTGTGGGGGCGGGGAGGGGGAGACAAAGACACGGATGGAGAGACGCACAGTGGAGAGGCCCAGAGACAAAGGCGAGACAGAGACAGAGAGACAGGACGGGGCGGGGGGGGGGGGATGGGGAGGACGGGAGCCTGGGAAAGGGGAACCGTCCTGCACCCGCCATCCATAGGCATTCTCACCCTGGCCAGTGTTGCTCAGTGGTAGAGCGTCGGCCTGAGGCCCCCACGGATCCTGGGTGCGATTCCGGTCAAGGGCACGTGCCCCGGTTGCGAGCTTGATCCCCAGTAGGGTGTGCAGGAGGCAGCTGGTCCGTGGTTCTCTCTCATCCTGGATGTTTCCGTCTCCCCCTTTCTCTTCCTCTCTGAGAACCATAAAAACTATAGTATTTCTTAAAGCCCTGACCGGTTTGGCTCAGCGGATAGAGCGTCGGCCTGTGGACTGGAGGGTCCCAGGTTCGATTCTGGTCAAGGGCACGTGCCTTGGGGGCGGGCACATCCCCAGTGGGGGAGGGGGGTGTGCAGGAGGCAGCGGGTCGATGATTCTCTCTCATCGATGTTTCTAACTCTATCCCTCTCTCCTCCTCTCTGAAAAAATCAATAAAATATATTTTTAAAAAAATCTCGACATGATTAAAAAAATAAATAAAACAAAAGTAAAATAAATAAAAATGCATTCTCTAAGCACAGAGAGTGGCACCACATGCAGTGCCCCCGGGCGGGGTCGGGGGTGGGGCGCAGGGGGTCCCCGGCCCAGCCCTGAGCTCCCAGGAGGTGCTGATGGGGGGAAGGGTCCCCGCAGCCAGCAGAGGCCTGGATCGCGGACCTGGAGCCAGCGGGGGCGGGGCGGGCTCTGCAGGGGCGCTGGGGGGGAGAAGCGGGGGCGAGGCCCAGCGTTTGGGGAAAGGAATTCCCCCTCCCTCCCCCAGGGGGCGGGGCTGAGCTCCCTATAAACTGGGGTGCCGCCGCTGCCCCTCAATTCCTGCCTCTGCAGACCCCGCTTTAGGTACAGCTCCCCGCGATCCAGGTGGGAGAGGCGGGGCGAGGAGGGGAGGGAGGGATGAGGCGGAGGGGCCTTGGGATGAGCATTTGGGGGGACACACACGGAATCTGGGGGGGGGCCTGGATTGGGGGTGTCCCAGAAAATACCCTCAAGCGCCCGGAGGTCTGAGTCAGGGGCTCCCAGAACATGGGGGTGTCTGGGCTTGGGGGGCAGTCCCAGAGTCTGCATGTCAGGAATAGGGGAGGGGGGCAGGGTCAGAACCGGGGTTCTAGGAGTTGAGGGTCCAAGGGGGTGGGGTGCTCAGAGGGGGCGGGCAAAATTCCTCCTCGGGTCGTCCTCAGGGGCAGCGGGAATTGGGGCTCCGAGTCTGGGCACCGGGTTTGGGGTGTCGGGATCATGGGGCATCAGAGACCGGGGTCTCCGAATCCAGGCTGGGCCCCGTGAGCCATGAACTGGGCCTGCCAGGCTCTGCGGGCACTGGGGTTTGGGCACCTCGGGGGCCGGGGGGGATGCCAGAGATTGGGGGTTCTGCTTAGGGGTGAGGGTGAGGCCTGGGGGAGCCCTGGTCTCGGGGCGTCCCTCCTCCTCCAGGGCTGTGGGTGAAGGGAAGGGAGGCAGGTGGGAGACCCCGCCGGATGGAGGGGTGGTAAGGAGGGGGAGCGGAACGGGGGTGACTAATTCTCCCCGACCCCCCCCCCCCCCCTGTCACTCACAGGCACTCAGCCCCTTTTTAGGAGATGTCCTCGGTCCTCCTGGAGGGCATCCCCCCGAAATAGCCCCTGGGGGTGGGGCGGCTATTGTCTTCAGGACACCCGCCTCCCAAATGCCCTCCTAATCCCACTGAGATCAGGTTCCAGGCCCTGTCACCAGACAAAGGAGGACAGCTGGGGGGGGGGGGGGGGAGCTGCAGCCCAGGCCCCCAGCCTCCTCCCTCAGGCCCAGGAGCCAGGCCCCCAGCCTCCTCCCTCAGGCCCAGGAGTCAGGTCCCCAGCCTCTTCCTCCCTCAGACCCAGGAGTCCAGGCCCCTCCTCCCTCAGACCCAGGAGCCCAGGCCCCCAGCCCCTCCTCCCTCAGACCCAGGAGCCCAGGCCCCCAGCCCCTCCTCCCTCAGACCCAGGAGTCCAGGCCCCAGCCTCCACCCTCAGACCCAGGAGCCCAGGCCCCCAGCCTCCTCCCTCAGACCCAGGAGCCCAGGCCCCCAGCCTCCTCCCTCAGACCCAGGAGTCCAGGACCCCAGCCTCCTCCCTCAGACCCAGGAGCCCAGGCCCCGAGTCTCCTCCCTCAGACCCAGGAGCCCAGGCCCCAGCCTCCTCCCTCAGACCCAGGAGCCCAGGCCCCAGCCTCCTCCCTCAGACCCAGGAGCCCAGGCCCCCAGCCTCCTCCCTCAGACCCAGGAGCCAGGCCCCCAGCCTCCTCCCTCAGGCCCAGGAGCCAGGCCCCCAGCCTCCTCCCTCAGACCTAGGAGTCAGGCCCCCAGCCTCTTCCTCCCTCAGACCCAGGAGTCCAGGCCCCAGCCTCCTCCCTCAGACCCAGGAGCCCAGGCCCCCAGCCTCCTCCCTCAGACCCAGGAGCCCAGGCCCCCAGCCTCCTCCCTCAGACCCAGGAGTCCAGGACCCCAGCCTCCTCCCTCAGACCCAGGAGCCCAGGCCCCGAGTCTCCTCCCTCAGACCCAGGAGCCCAGGCCCCAGCCTCCTCCCTCAGACCCAGGAGCCCAGGCCCCCAGCCCCTCCTCCCTCAGACCCAGGAGCCCAGGCCCCCAGCCCCTCCTCCCTCAGACCCAGGAGCCCAAGCCCCCAGCCTCCTCCCTCAGACCCAGGGGGCCCCCAGCCTCCTCCCTCAGACCCAGGAGCCCAGGCCCCCCAGCCTCCTCTCTCAGACCCAGGAGCCCAGGCCCCCCAGCCTCCTACCTCAGACCCAGGAGCCCAGGCCCCCAGCCTCCTCTCTCAGACCCAGGAGCCCAGGCCCCCAGCCCCTCCTCCCTCAGACCCAGGAGCCCAGGCCCCCAGCCCCTCCTCCCTCAGACCCAGGAGCCCAGGCCCCCAGCCCTCCTCCCTCAGACCCAGGAGCCCAAGCCCCCAGCCTCCTCCCCCAGACCCAGGAGCCCAAGCCCCCAGCCTCCTCCCTCAGACCCAGGAGCCCAGGCCCCCAGCCTCCTCCCTCAGACCCAGGAGCCCAGGCCCCCAGCCTCCTCCCTCAGACCCAGGAGCCCAGGCCCCAGCCTCCTCCCTCAGACCCAGGAGCCCAGGCCCCAGCCCTCCTCCCTCAGACCCAGGAGCCCAGGCCCCCAGCCCCTCCTCCCTCAGACCCAGGAGCCCAGGCCCCCAGCCCCTCCTCCCTCAGACCCAGGAGCCCAGGCCCCCAGCCCTCCTCCCTCAGACCCAGGAGCCCAAGCCCCCAGCCTCCTCCCTCAGACCCAGGAGCCCAGGCCCCCAGCCTCCTCTCTCAGACCCAGGAGCCCAGGCCCCAGCCTCCTCCCTCAGACCCAGGAGCCCAAGCCCCCAGCCTCCTCCCTAAGACCCAGGGGGCCCCCAGCCTCCTCCCTCAGACCCAGGAGCCCAGGCCCCCCAGCCGCCTCTCTCAGACCCAGGAGCCCAGGCCCCCCAGCCTCCTCCCTCAGACCCAGGAGCCCAGGCCCCCAGCCTCCTCTCTCAGACCCAGGAGCCCAGGCCCCCAGCCCCTCCTCCCTCAGACCCAGGAGCCCAGGCCCCCAGCCCTCCTCCCTCAGACCCAGGAGCCCAGGCCCCCAGCCTCCTCTCTCAGACCCAGGAGCCCAGGCCCCCAGCCCCTCCTCCCTCAGACCCAGGAGCCCAGGCCCCCAGCCCCTCCTCCCTCAGACCCAGGAGCCCAGGCCCCCAGCCCTCCTCCCTCAGACCCAGGAGCCAGGCCCCAGCCTCCTCCCTCAGACCCAGGAGCCCAGGCCCCCAGCCCTCCTCCCTCAGACCCAGGAGCCCAAGCCCCAGTCTCCTCCCCCAGACCCAGGAGCCCAGGCCCCAGCCTCCTCCCTCAGACCCAGGCCCCCAGCCCCTCCTCCCTCAGACCCAGGCCCCCAGCCCCTCCTCCCTCAGACCCAGGAGCCCAGTACCCAGCCTCCTCCCTCAGACCCAGGAGCCCAGCCCCCAGCCCCTCCTCCCTCAGACCCAGGAGTCCAGGCCCCAGCCTCCTCCCCCAGACCCAGGAGCCCAGGCCCCAGCCTCCTCCCTCAGACCCAGGAGCCCAGGCCCCAGCCTCCTCCCCCAGACCCAGGAGCCCAGGCCCCAGCCTCCTCCCTCAGACCCAGGCCCCCAGCCCCTCCTCCCTCAGACCCAGGCCCCCAGCCCCTCCTCCCTCAGACCCAGGAGCCCAGGCCCCAGCCCCTCCCTCAGACCCAGGAGCCCAGGCCCCAGCCTCCTCCCTCAGACCCAGGAGCCCAGGCCCCAGCCTCCTCCCTCAGACACCCCCACACCTTCTCTGTGGTCCTCAGGTCGCACCAGGATGTCGGACACGGAGGAGCAGGAATATGAGGAGTGAGTGATGTGGCGAGAGGACTGGGGGTCCGGGGAAGTGGGGACCCTCTTTCTCCTCCCAGCCTCTAACTCTCTCTCTCTTTCCCCGGGGTCCCCCGGCCCAGGGAGCAGCCAGAAGGTGAGTGGGGAGGGCACCGGCATTGGAGGTGGGGGCGGCAGGCGGGCCTCCTGGGAGGGGCATTGCAGAGAAGCCCACCCTCCTGGTTTCCTGAGTGTTTTTTTTTAAAAAAATATACTTTATTGATTTTTACAGAGAGGAAGGGAGATGGATAGAGAATTAGAAACATCGATGAGAGAGAAACATCCATCAGCTGCCGGGGATGTGCCCGCAAACAAGGCACACGCCCTTGACTGGAATCGAACCCGGGACCTTTCAGTCCGCAGGCCGACGCTCTATCCACTGAGCCACACCGGTTTGGGCAGGAGTGTTTCCTTGTTTGTTCTCTTTTTAAATATTTCTTTATTGCTTTCAGAGAGGAAGGGAGAGAGAGAGAAGCATCCCTGGTGAGAGAGAATCACAGATCGGCTGCCTCCTGCAGGCCCCCGACTGGGGATGGAGCCTGCAGCAACCCGGGCATGGGACCCTGCCTGGATTCGAACCCATGACCCTTCAATCCACAGGCTGATGGCCAATGCCCTGTCCATTGAGCCAACCCGGCGTGGGCTCCTTTGTTTGTTCATCCTCACCCCAGGATATGTTTTTCTTTTTTTCTTTTTTATTTTTTAAATATATTTTATTGATTTTTTACAGAGAGGAAGAGAGAGGGATAGAGAGTTAGAAACATCGACGAGAGAGAAACATCGACCAGCTGCCTCTTGCACACCCCACACCGGGGATGTGCCCTCAACCAAGGCACACGCCCTTGCCCAGTATCGAACCTGGGACCTTTCAGTCCGCAGACCACCGCTCTAGCCACTGAGCCAAACCGGCTTCGGCTCTTTTTATTTTTTGAAAATATGTGTTTATTGATTTTACAGAGCAAGGGAAAGGGGAGAGAGATAGAAGCATCAATGATGAGAAAAATCACGGATCAGCTGCCTCCTGCACGCCCCCTACTGGGGATGGAGTTCACAACCCGGGCATGTGCCCTGACTGGGAATCGAACCCGGGTCCTCCCCAGCTCACTGCCCCCCCCACGCCCACCTGTGACCCCAACCGGGGTCTCTGCCGGCTCCCGGGGTCCTAACGGCTCCCCCTTTGCCCCCGCCCCTTGCAGAGGTGGAGGAGGAGGAGGAGGAGGAGGAAGGTGAGGCCCCGGACCAGGACCAGCAGCTGCAGCCGGAAGCGGGCGGGGAGGGGGCGAGGGGAAGGGAGGGGGTCTGGGGGGGAGGGGGCCTCTGTGCCCCGGGGGCAGCCGGGGTGGGGGCTCCCCAGGGCCTGGGTCTCAGCTCCTCTAACAGCCTCTCCCCTCTCTCCCCTCCCGCACCCCGCGCCCCGCACCCCGCGCCCCGCGCCCCGCGCCCCTTCGTGGCCGCCCCCCTTCCCGCACCTCCCCCCCCCATCCTGGCTTCTCCCTGCACCCCGCCCCCCTCCCCAGCCCCGGAGGAGCCGGAGCCGGTGGTAGAGCGAGGTAACCGCGGCCGCTTCGCTTCCTGAGGATGATTTCGGGGCTCCCTTCCCCCTAGCCCCCCTCCGCCCCCCCGATATCCACGCCCCGCCCCCCACAGACGCGGTCCCTTTAAGCCGCGGGGGCGCGCGCCCTCTGGCGGCCAGGAAGGGAGTCGCCCGGCCCCAGGCGCGGTCCCTTTAAGCCGCGGGGGCGCGCGCCCTCTGGCGGCCAGGAAGGGAGTCGCCCCGCAGCGGTGTGAACCCTTTCCCTTCCTTCTTAAAGGGACCGGCACCCAAGCCTTCTCCCCGGCCCCTCCCCGCCCGGAGGGGAGCTGAGAGAAGACTTGGGTGTTTGCGGGGAGGCACCCGCCCCCCACCTGCACCCCCGACCCCGTCTGTCATGTTCCTCCTCCATATACATTCGAAGGAAGGTCGGGGGGGGAGGGGGGGGAACCTGATGTTGCAGAGGGGTCAGGCGCCCCGAGTCTGGGTGCCTGTGTCCCCCCAGGGGCTGGGGGCTGGGGACACCGAATGAATGCGGGAGGGGGGGGGGTGCTGAACCGCTAGGTCCGGATGGAGGAGGGCAGGAGCTCTGGGTTTGTCCAAGGGGGAGGGTTGGGGGTCTGGGGCCTGGGGTCTGGCCTTCTGGGCCCCCAGGAAAGTGGGAGGGGTCCCCATGCCAGTTCGGAATGTATATATGACGCGTGTGACCCTCTTCTTTCCCTTGGCGGCCACCCTGACTTCCCTTCCCCGGCCCCCCCCCCCCCCGCCCTCTCCGACCCTCCAGAGCGGCTGAGGAGGGAACTGGGCTCCGGAGGGTGGGGGGCAAGGTTTGGGGGTCCCCTCTCTGGCCCCTCGAGCTCTGGCTAACTCTCTCTTTGTGTCCTTTCACCAGAGGAGGAGCGCCCCAGACCGAGGTGAGATCCTAGCGGGAGGGGTGTGTGTGTGTGTCCCAACCACACCCTCCTGAGTATGTCGGCCACCTGCAGAGATAGGGTGGGGGGTAGGCAGAGAGAGAGAGAGAGAGAGAGAGAGAGAGAGAGGAGGGAGGGCTGACCGCACCCCTGCAATGCAAATATAATGCAAGCTCTGCACGTAACTTAAAATTTTTGACTATTTGTACCCTAGCGGTGTTGCCCAGTGGATAGAGCCATGGGCCTGCAGACTGAAAGGTCCCAGGTTCGATTCCAGTCAAGAGCAAGCACATGCCTGGTTGTGGGCTCAATCTGCAGATTTCAGAGGAAGGGAGAGGGAGAGAGAGAGAAAGAGAAACACCCATGATGAGAGAGAATCCTGGATCAGCTGCTTCCTGCACGCCCTCTACTGGGGATGGAGCCCAGGCATGTGCCCTTGACCTGAATCAAACCTGGGACCCTTCAGTCTGCAGGCCGGCGCTCTATCCACTGAGCAACACCGGCCAGGGACAAGCTAATCCTAACATCTCCTATCTATTCAGCCTGTGATCTATGACATTTCATGCCATAAACATAAACCTGAGATTCCTTTGTTTGTAGCAAACCTTGCAGGTCAGCCGTGTGTTTCCCCCGCGTCCCTGGGCCTGGGGCCGGGTGGCGGGGAGGACCAGGGACCTCGCGCCCTCACTGTCTTCCTCTCCTTCCCTGTCCCCTCAGCCGCCCCGTGGTGCCTCCGCTGATCCCCCCAAAGATCCCGGAAGGGGAACGTGTGGACTTCGATGTAAGTACCCCCCCCCCTTACTCCGACCCCCCACCCCCACCCCCAGCAGCTGCAAGCCCTTGGGCCGCCTGGACGCAAATTGGAAAAAAAAAATCCCAAAAGCCAAGCTGGGCGCGAACGCGGCGCTTTGCTGCCACCTGCTGGCCATGGACGGAACTGCCGGCTCCGCTGATGCATTCCTGCGGGGCTGGGGGTTCGGGGCCCGGGGGCTCCCCTCCTGAGGCCTCGGGGCCCTGCCCGGGAGTAACGGGGCGCCCCCGCCCGCCCCCCACCAGGACATCCACCGGAAGCGCATGGAGAAGGACCTGCTGGAGCTGCAGACGCTCATCGACGTGCACTTTGAACAGCGCAAGAAGGAGGAGGAGGAGCTCATTGCGCTGAAAGACCGCATCGTGAGTGGGGGGGGGCTCCCCCAAATCCTCCCCTACTACCCCCCCTCCCCCAGTACCGTCCTCGGGGTCCTGGGGGGATAACGGACAACAGGTCACGTCCCAATGCATCAGACTTGTGCATTTTTATTTTTTCATTTGTTTTGTCTTGACCTCGTTCCTCCGGGGGAGGGGTCCCGGGTGGGTGGGGTGCCTGCACCCCCTCATTCTTCTCCGCCATCCCCCCCGCCTCCCCAGGAGCGGCGCCGGGCGGAGAGAGCGCAACAGCAGCGCTTCAGGACCGAGAAGGAGAAGGAGCGGCAGGCCCGGCTGGCGGTGGGTGCCTCCGGGTGGGAGCCCCGAGGTTCCATTCATCATATTCTCTGGGGTCCCCCCTCCCCCAAAAAAAGGTCTTCCCGGCTGCGTTATTCAGGGACCTTTCCGTTGGAAGGAACGGGAACCCCCACCCAGGCCGGATGCGGCAGAAAGAAGGTTTTCTTGGCTCCTGTCAAAGCAAAGTCTAGGGAGAGCCTGCTTCAGGCACGGCTGGATCCAGCGGCTCCAGCACATGCTGTCACAAAGACCCCGTGTTTCCTTGTCCCATCGCTTGGCCCATCTTTCTGTGGATGTCCGGGTGACCAGTTCGTCCCCGCTTGCCCCGGGCTTCCCTGCTCTGAGTCCTGATGACCCTGCACCCCCCTCTGTCCCAGGCAGACTGGAGTGGTCCCCCGTCCGTAACTGGTGAGCGTGTTTGAGAACGCGTCCGTGGCTTCAGGCCTGGGAAGTGTGATCTGTGGCGGCATCCAGGAAGCGCCCACCTGGGCCACTTTTTTATTTTTTTAAAATATATTTTATTTGCCGAAACCGGTGTGACTCAGTGGTAGAGGGTCGGTCTGTAGACTGAAGGATCCCAGGTTCGATTCCGGTCAGGGGTATGTACATTGGTTGCGGGCACAACCCCGGTAGGGGGTGTGCAAGAGGCAGCTGGTCGGTGTTTCTCTCATCGATGTTTCTGACTATCTCTCCCTTCCTCTCTGTAAAAAATCAATAAAAATATATTTAAAAATATATATATATTTTATTGATTTTTTACAGAGAGGAAGGGAGAGGGATAGAGATCTAGAAACATCGATGAGAGAGAATCATCTAACAGCTGCCTCCTGCACCCCTCCCACTCCCCACTGGGGATGTGCCCGCAACCAAGGTACATGCCCTTGACCGGAATCGAACCCAGGACCCTTGAGTCCACAGGCCGATGCTCTATCCACTGAGCCAAACCGGTTTCGTCTGGACCACTTTTGAGGGACGGGAGTAGGGTGGTGTGGTGAGCGGAATAAGGGTGACCCCAAGCAGCTCACATCCTGGTTCCTGGGACCTTCCACGGGAAAAGGGACTTTGCAGATGTGGGGAAGGATCTGGAGACGGAGAGATGGTCCCGGCTGATCCCGGCGGGCTCAGAGCCATCCGGAGCCGGCTGGTGGGAGGGAGTCAGAAGGGTGGGGAAACCCTACCCGGTGTGGCTCAGTGGATAGAGCATCGAGATGAAAGGGTCCCAGGTTCGATGCCGGTCAAGGGCATGCACCTTGGCTGGGGGCACATCCCAGTGCGGGGTGTGCAGGAGGCAGCTGATCCATGTTTCTCTCTCATCGATGTTTCTGACTCTCTATCCCTCTCCCTTCCTCTCTGTAAAAAATCAATAAGATATATATTTTTAAAAATGAGGGAGGGAGGAAGGGGCCAGGAGCAAAGGGATGCAGGCAGCCCCTGGAACCGGGGAAGGCCAGGCCTCGGGGCTGAAACCCTTTCCCACAGGAGGAGAAGATGAGGAAGGAGGAGGAGGAGGCCAAGAAGCGGGCGGAGGATGACGCCAAGAAGAAGAAGGTCCTGTCCAACATGGGGGCCCACTTCGGGGGCTACCTGGTCAAGGTGCGATCCGCTCCGGGGCCTGAGGCCGAGGTTCCCGGGAGGAGGCGGCTGAGGGAGGGGCTGGGGCCGGGCTCCTGGGTCTGAGGGAGGAGGGCTGGGCTCCTGGGTCTGAGGGAGGAGGCTGGGGGCCTGGGTCTGAGGGAGGAGGCTGGGGGCCTGGGCTCCTGGGTCTGAGGGAGGAGGGCCTGGACTCTTGGGTCTGAGGGAGGAGGGCTGGGGCCTGGGCTCCTGAGTCTGAGGGAGGAGGGGCTGGGGACCTGGGCTCCTGGGTCTGAGGGAGGAGGGCTGGGGCCTGGGCTCCTGGGTCTGAGGGAGGAGGCTGGGGGCCTGGGCTCCTGGGTCTGAGGGAGGAGGGCTGGGGCCTGGACTCCTGGGTCTGAGGGAGGAGGCTGGAGGCCTGGGTTCCTGGGTCTGAGGGAGGAGGGGCTGGGGGCCTGGGCTCATGGGTCTGAGGGAGGAGGATTCTGGGGGGCTTGGGCTCCTGGGTCTGAGGGAGGGACTGGGGGCCTGGGCTCCTGGGTCTGAGGGAGGAGGGGCTGCGGCCTGGACTCCTGGGTCTGAGGGAGGGGACTGGGGGCCTGGGCTCCTGGGTCTGAGGGAGGAGGCTGGGGGCCTGGGCTCCTGGGTCTGAGGGAGGAGGGCTGGGGCCTGGGCTCCTGGGTCTGAGGGAGGAAGGGAGGGACGGGGACCCCCACTCCAGGTGTCCCCTCCCCATGCGCAGGCGGAACAGAAGCGGGGGAAGCGGCAGACGGGGCGGGAGATGAAGCTTCGCATCCTGTCGGAGAGGAAGAAGCCTCTGGACATCGACTACATGGGCGAGGAGCAGCTCCGGTAGGGGGGGGTTTAGGGGGGGATGGGCAGAGGGGGTAGGCGGGGGGGGGGTAGGTGAGGGGCGGGCAGGGGTGGGCAGGCGGGGAGGGAGGCCTGGGTGTGAGACAGGGAGCTGGGAGCCCTCCTCGAACCCGGGCGAAATTATTTTTATTTTTAAAAATATATTTTATTGATTTTTTTACAAAGAGGAAGGAAAAGGGCTAGAGTTAGAAACATGGATGAGAGAGAAACATCGGTCAGCGGCCTCCTGCACCCCCCCACTGGGGATGTGTCTGCAACCAACGTACATGCCCCTGACCGGAATCGAACCCGGGGCCCTTCCGTTCGCAGGCCGACGCTCTATCCACTGAGCCACACCGGTTTCGGCTGAGATTTCTTTTGAGAGACAAATTGTTTAAACGTAAACTTCCTCTAACGCCACTTCTTCAAAACAGACTCGCCCAGGCCCTGGTATTTTGTGGGAGAGCCACCCTCCAGGGGCCAAAGAGCCGCAATAGGGGAATGTGAGTCTCCGTTTCGCGTCAGGAGAGAGCAGGCAGAGATTTTATTTAATATATTTTATTGATGTTAGAGAGGAAGGAAGAGGGAGAGAGACATAGAACCATCGACGATGAGAGAGAATCATGGGTCGGCTGCCTCCTGCAAGTCCTTCCTCTATTGGGGATCAAGCCCGAAACACAGGCCTGTGCCCTTGGCCGTAATCGAACCTGGGACCCTTCAGTCCAAAGGCCGATGCTCTATCCACTGAGCAACACCAGCGAGGGCACCGGCAGAGATTTTCAAACCCTTTACTTCCGTTCACGCTGAACATCTCTCCCTCGCATATTAACGCAACGGCAAACGGATACCACATTCAGAGTGCAGAGTCGTGCTGTGTGGCTTCGGACAGTCCCCTCTCCCTCTCTGAGCCTTGGATGGCCAGCTCTCCCTCCGCCCCCCGCCCCAGCCCCCTCTCTCGTCCTGACCGTCCGTCTGCCCTGCCAGGGCCAAGGCCCAGGAGCTGTCGGACTGGATCCACCAGCTGGAGTCAGAGAAGTTTGACCTGATGGAGAAGATGAAGCAGCAGAAGTATGAGGTGCGGCTGCCTGGCCTGGGCTGGGCTGGGCCAGGCTGGGCCGGGCTGGGCCGGGCTGGGCCGGGCAGGTGTGCGGGGCCCTGTCCCCAGCTGGCTGTCCCAGCGTCACCCCCCTCCTCCCACCGCAGATCAACCTGCTATACAACCGCATCAGCCACGCCCAGAAGTTGTAAGTGTGACTGAGCCCGGCCCTGACTCCCCCTGCCCTCCGCCCCTTCCTCTGGCTTTGTCCCCGTCCCCGCCCCTTCTCTCTGACCTCGCGTCTCTCTTCTGGGGCCTCCATTGCCATCGCCACGCCCATCTATTTTGTTTTTATTTTTTAAAAAATAAATTTTTATTGATTTCAGAGAGGGAAGGAGGGGGAGAGAGATAGAGACATACTCCCTGCACGCCCCCTCCTGGGGATGGAGCCTATAACCCAGGCCTGTGCCCTTGGCTGGAATCAAACCTGGGACCCTTCAGTCCACAGGCCAACGCTCTATCCACTGAGCCACACCAGCTAGGGCTTATTTTTATATTATTTTTAAAATTATATTTTACTGATTTTTTTTTTTTTTTTTTTTTTTACCGAGAGGAAGGGAGAGGGAGAGAGAGTTAGAAACATCAATCAGCTGCCTCCTGCACACCCTCTACTGGGGATGTGTCTGCAACCAAGGTATAGGCCCTTGACTGGAATCGAACCTGGGACCCTTCAGTCCGCAGGCCGGCGCTCTATCCACTGAGCCACACCGGCCAGGGCCCTGTCCCTCTAAGCCACCGGTCCTCAAGGATGGGGGGTGACCTTGCCCCCAGGGGACGCCGGGCAGAGGCCGGCAGGCCTTTGTCTGCCCCCCTGCACGGCGCTCCCGGCCTCCAGTGGGTGGAGGCCCCAGTGGCTGCTCAGCACCCTGCAGGCCCCGGACAGCGCCCCGGAGCGGGGGATGTGACCCCCAGCAGCACCCCCCACCCCAACACCTCATCACAGCACAGACACCCACCCCCGTGACACTGGGGACTCAGGCTGTGACCCCCACCGCCCCAGCCAGCGGACCCCGATGAGAACACACTTGCCCGCCTCTCCCTCTGGGCGTGTGGGGCCTCTCCCTCTGGGCGCGGGGGGCGGGCATCCCGGGGGCGCCCCATCTCTGAGGCCTGAGGAGCCCCCCTCCTGACACCCCCTCCTTCTCCCGCAGCCGGAAGGGGGCAGCGAAGGGCCGCCTGGGGGGCCGCTGGAAGTGAGGACGGGGCGGGGCCGCCCGGAGAAGCCCGAGCCCTGGGAGTGCTTGTCAGTCTGAGCCCTGAAATAAATGCTCCGCCCGCGGGCACCTGCTGAGGTCGTTGTTATTATTATTTTATTTTTATAAAATATATTTTATTGATTTTTTTTTTTTTTTTTTTTTTTTTTTTTTTTTTTTGCAGAGAGGAAGGGAGAGGGATAGAGAGTTAGAAACATCCATGTGTCGCCGAAATCAGTTTGGCTCAGGGGATAGAGCGTCAGCCTGCGGACTGAAAGGTCACAGGTTCGATTCCGGTCAAGGACATGTATACCTTGGGGGTGTGCAGGAGGCAGCTGGTCAATGTTTCTCTCTCATCGATCTTTCTAACTCTCTATCCCTCTCCCTTCCTCTCTGTAAGAAATCAATAAAAAATATATATATATTAAAAAAAAAGAAAGAAACATTGATGAGAGAGAAACATCAATCAGCTGCCTCCTGCACACCCCTCACTGGGGATGTGCCCGCAACCAAGGTACATGCCCTTGACCAGAATCGAACCCGGGACCCTTCAGTCCACAGGCTGACGCTCTAACCACTGAGCAACACTGGGGAGGGCTTATTATTATTATTGTTATTATTTTAAATATGTTTATTGATTAAGAGGGGAAGGGAGAGGGAGGGAGAGAGAAACATCCATGATGAAAGAGAGAATCATGGATCGGCTGCCTCCTGCACGCCCACACTGGGGATCGAGCCCATAACCCACATGTGCCCTGGCCAATAGGTCAGCATTCCCTGCAGGCTGGGCTTACACAACCTTTTGAATGCACCAAAGCACCGTTGCACTGGACACTTGCAAATGCTTTCATTATGTGCATCGTATCTGAGTGCAGGAATGCAAAACCAGGTCCCGACTGGGTGTCTCCGTTCGCTGGAACATCGTCCCCACACACCAAGGTGCGGGTTCGATCCCCAGTCAGGTCAGCTCCTTCATTTCTGAGGCTACATTTCTAGGGGGTTGCCTTGGTCCAAGGGGTAAGTGCAGCTGATTGATGTTTCTAACTCTCTCTCCCTCTCCCTTCCTCTCGGTAATCCATAAGTTGAAACCCACCCTCCCATGCAATAATGTTGAAGGTGGGGCCCCTGAGAGTGGAGCCCTGATGGTGGGATTAGTTTTTTTTTTTTTTAAATATATTTTTATTGATTTCAGAGGGGAAAATAGAGAGAGAGAGAGAGAGAGAGAGAGAGAGAGAGAGAGAGAGAGAGAGAGAAACATCAATGATAGAGATTCATGGATGAGCTGCCTCCTGCAGACCCCACACTGGGGATAGAGCCTGCAACCTGGGCCTGTGCCCTGACCGGGAATCGAACCATGACCTCCCGGTTTATGGGCTGACGCTCAAGCACTGAGGCACAACAGCCATGAGGGAACATCTTTGTTATTGTTATTTCCCCCCGCCGTGAGGAGGGTCTGCAGCTCCAGGGTCAAGCATTGCCCTTGGATAACGAACACCAGGGTCAGCACTGAGAGAGAACAGGACTGTGGGCAGAGGGAGCTTTAACCAGTGGAGTCTGAACACGCCTGCACACAGCCAAGGTCTTGCACCTAGCAGATACTTTACGCCCGCTGTCTCAGCAACCCCGGGGATGGAGAGTCTGGGCCAGACCCCAGAGCTAGGGAGGGGTTCGTGACCAGGTTCCATCTCAGGACTGCCTAAGCCACAGCTGGAATCCTTACCCATGGCGATGGAATAGAATTTTTAACATAGAAGGTAAAGCCAATGAAAAATTGCGGAGAGAGAGCTTATGGTGGGAGCGTGCCCTGCAGATCCTTCTGTGGATCGAGCAGACACCTCAAGTTGTGTCTCCCACACACCAATGGTTACTGTCACACAGGCTTTTACACCAAAGCTTTTAAGCACCGTAAGCAGAAGCACCCTGAACAGCACCCACCCAGCGACAGACACCACTGCAAAAGGCACACGATTAATAATGTGTCACCATATGCACAGGCGTGGAGACACGTCTGGTGCATGAGAGGACTACATATCCCAAGAGACACTGAGACTGGTATGCCCTTTTGTATCTATGGCCTGTCCTCCCAAAGCCTTGTGAGAATTGTAGTTTCTTTCTTTCTTTTTAATATATTTTATTGATTTTGTGCAGAGAGAAAGGGAGAGAGATAGAGAGTTAGAAACATCGATGAGAGAGAGTCATCCATCAGCTGCCTCTTGCACACCCCCTACTGGGGATGTGCCCGCAACCAAGGTACATCCCCTTGACCGGAATCGAACCCGGGACCCTTCAGTCCCCAAGCCGACACTCTATCCATTGAGCCAAACCGGTTTCAGCTGTAGTTTATTTCTTTGCCTAGGCCTAAGGACTTCAGCGTGGGTAGTCTGTTGCTTCTGTCCAGATTTCAGCCCCTTTCTACGTGTCTTTATTCTCGTCTCAGAGTGATTGCATCTGTCTCAGTTGGGACTTAGGTGTGCTTCACAGTGCTATGTAGGAGACCACTCGCTCTGAACTACAAACCCCAGCATTGGCTTGCAGAGGTGTGTAGGGGCTGAACTACATTTCCCAGCATGCTTTATGACCCACGGTAAGACTAAGGGAAGCGAGAGCCAATAGGTTCTGTGGGTGCTCATTGTGGATTCCTCCTCTCGGGTTCTTTCCCCATATGACCCAGGAGTTATCATCAGGGACTTGGGACTTCTCTTGCCCATGAGCCTGATTTCTTGAGGTGGTTTAGGAATCCGCTTAAATTAACCAACTGAGCCTTTAGGGGCGTGGCCATGCGGACCACATTTCCCAGCAGGCCCCTAGACTGCTGGCAGATTGCTGTGAACTCTGTTACCAAAAAAAAAGTGAATTTCCCAGCATGCCTTGAGCGGCCAGCCAGGGAGGCTTGGACAGCATTGCTTTTAATGATTTAGGGTTGAGGACTCAACTTCCCATGATGCCCTGAAGTTTTTCACAACCTAGGGAATCCCCTTACCCATTCATTCAAAAACTATTTTCAATTACTATCAGGCTTGGTTCTGGGCTCTGGGAACAAGGGGTGCACGCAGAAGACAAACTCGCTGTTCTCCTGAAGCTTATTTCTGGTTGAAGAGAGCAGACGGCCCATCACACATCAATTCGATGGTCTGAGGAAAGCTGATAAGGAGAAATTATCTACCTTCTCGGACTTCCGGGCTGCGGAGTCCCTCTTCCTACCAGGTCCCGCCCCTGAGATAATCAACTACATTTCCCAGCATGCCGTGGGGGGCCACACCTCCACCCTACAAACTCCATTTCCCAGAGTCGCTCGGTGCATCCCCCCCACCCCCTTCAATGAGATTTCCATTTGGCCCCAGAGACTAGCGGACTTCCCAGTATGCCTGCGGGGCAGATAGAGAGGCTGGAATGTTGCCATTCACCACCTCCTCTTGCTGTAGAGATTCCGCTTCCCAGCGCTCCCCGCGGGTCTCTGTGACCCGCGGACTACATTTCCCAGCGACCCCCGGGACCGGCGTGGTGACGTCGCGCGCCGGGCGGGGCCGGCAGCGCCTCCGGCGGGCGGCGCGGGACGAGCGGCAGTTCCCGGCGGCCCCGGGGCGGGCGGCGGCGGCGGCGGCGGCGGCGGCGGCGGCGGCGGCGGCGCGGCGGAGGCTGGGCGCTCGCTCGCTCGCTCGCTCGCTCACGGAGCGGGCGGGCGGCGCGATGTCGGGCGAGGACGGGGCGTGCCCGGGGGCGGCGGCGGCGGCGGCCCGCGAGCGGCGGCGGGAGCAGCTGCGGCAGTGGGGGGCGCGGGCGGGCGCCGAGCCGGGCCCCGGGGAGCGGCGCGTCCGCACCGTGCGCTTCGAGCGCGCCGCCGAGTTCCTGGCGGCCTGCGCGGGCGGCGACCTGGACGAGGCGCGCCTGATGCTGCGCGCGGCCGGCCCCGACCCCGGCGCCGAGCCCGACCCCGCCGCGCCGCCGCCCGCCCGCGCCGTGCTCGACTCCACCAACGCCGACGGCATCAGCGCCCTGCACCAGGTCAGCGCCCGCCGCGCCCTCCCGCCCCGGGCTGCCCCCGCCCCGGTCCGGCCCCTCCCGCCCCGGTCCGGCCCCTCCCGCCCAGTGCGGGTCTGCACCCTCTCAGCACCCCCACCCCTTCCTGCACCAGGTCAGCGCCCGCCGCGCCCTCCCGCCCCGGGCTGACCCCCCGCCCCGGTCCGAGCCCCCTTCCCCAGCTCCCCGGTCCAGCCGGAGCCCCTGGGACCGGCCTGGGTCCTCGCCCCCTGCGCTGCCCTCTCCCTGGACCCCAACCCTGGCTGCCGGCCCCCCGACCTGTCCCGGCGCTGCGCTCGCCCTGAGCGCCCTTCCCCGGTGTCTGCGCCGCCCGCCCCCATCGGAGCCGCCGTGCTCTGCCGTCCATGCAGCCGCGCTTCCCGGGTCGGTGCCACCTCTTCCGGCAACACGGGTGCCCCCGGGCCCGCTGCTGCTTCCCCTCCAGGCCGGCCCCGTGCTCTCTCCGGCCTGTGCTTCCTCCTCCGCCGGCCGTGCCCGGGGCCCGGGGCCCCCCGCTCCTC